AAACTAATTCAGAACCTATCAAACAGCGATTTTACCCAATATCACCCGCTCTCCAGAAACACGTTAACAAAGAGTTGGACGAAATGCTTCAGCGCGGAATCGTGGAACCATCCTCCTCCCCTTGGGCATCACCAATCGTGATGGTCAGGAAGAGGGATGATTCTTATCGATTCTGTGTTGACTTTCGTAAACTGAATAAAGTGACCACGAGGGATGCATACCCCCTCCCTCAAGTAACTAGTACCCTAGATAAGCTACGAAACGCGAAATATCTCTCATCGTTAGACATCAAAAGCGCGTATTGGCAGGTACCATTGGAGGAGTCGAGTAAGGCATTAACGGCTTTTACTGTACCAGGGCGCGGTCTCTTCCAATTCCGTAGAATGCCATTCGGGTTGCACAATGCCCCTGCCACATGGCAGAGACTCATAGACCAAGTAGTGGGGTTCGACCTTGAGCCCTACTGCTTCGTCTATCTTGATGATATAATCATTTCTACACCAACTTTTGAAAAACACCTTGAAGTCTTGAGGGAAGTATTCAAACGCCTTACTAATGCTGGTTTATCTGTGAGTCAAAAAAAGTGCTACTTCTGTCGGTCTAACCTGAAGTATTTGGGTTATATAGTTAATAGTACGGGGTTACATGTTGATCCAGATAAAGTCTCAGCGATTCTGAACATTCCATCACCAAAAAGCGTCTCGGAAGTGCGGAGGATATTGGGTATGACAAGTTGGTATAGACGGTTCATACCAAGTTTCGCTACTATGGTAGCGCCAATTACAAACCTTTTGCGTAAACATTCCAAATTCGAATGGTCCGAAGAGTGTCAGTTAGCTTTCGATAAAGTGAAAGAGAGTTTAGTATCAGCACCAATAATTAGCTGTCCAGATTTTGACAGACCCTTTTGTGTCCAAACTGATGCTAGTGATTTTGGCCTGGGAGCGGTTTTGACTCAATCTTATGATGACGGTGAAAGGGTGGTCAGTTTCATCAGTAGATCCTTGAGTAGAAATGAACGAAAATATACTACCACGGAGAAAGAATGCCTTGCCGTTCTTTGGGCAATCGAAAAATTCCGTCCATATATCGAAGCAACTCATTTTGTCGTCATTACGGATCATTTTGCACTCATGTGGTTGCATAACCTCAAAGACCCTACGGGTCGATTGGCTCGCTGGAGTGTTCGTCTCCAGCAGTACGATTTTGAAGTCCTCCATAGACGGGGAAAAGATAATATCGTGCCTGACGCATTGTCGCGTTCTGTTCCTATCGTGAACGAGCTATCCGTTGATAGGCCCATCGAATTCGGAAATCATAACGATTCGTGGTATAATGATATGATCGCAAGAATTAGTGACCACCCGCTCAATTACCCACAATGGCGGACTCGAGACGGGGTTCTATTCAAAAAGATGAGAAATGCTTACCCTGGCCTCGAAGATCCAAACTTCGACTGGAAGGTGGTAGTACCAAAGCCACATCGAACCGATATCATACGTACTCATCATGAACCTCCGACATCTGGACATCCAGGTGTGTTCAAGACGTTTCACCGAATAACCAGGAAGTTTTACTGGCCCAAGATGAGGTCGGATATTGCGAAATTCATTCGCTCCTGCCAGACGTGTATTGCTGTTAAACCAGATAACAAAGCACCGGCGGGACTCCTACGTTGTCATTCCAATGTATCACGCCCTTGGGAGTTAATTTCAATCGATGTCGTTGGTCCTTTACCAAAGAGTTCGAATGGCCATATATTCATTCTTAGCATTCAGGACTACTTTAGCAAATTTTGTTTATTTTTCCCGATGAGGTCTGCCACCGCAAAAACCATAACGAACCTGGTGGAGACAAATGTCTTTTTATTATTCGGTGTCCCTAAAACACTCATAACCGATAACGGTAAGGTTTTCGTTAGCAAGGAGTTCAAAAGGTTACTGGACTCCTACGGAGTTAGACATTTCAGGACTGCAAATTACCACGCGCAAGCTGATCCCTGCGAAGCACAACATAAAACGCTCAAGACGATGTTGGCCTCTTATGTTCGAGAAAATCATCGAACTTGGGATACGATACTTCCGAAAGTGTCATGCGCGATGAGAACTGCGCCAAGTGAATCCACAGGTTTGAGTCCGTTTTTCGTTAATTTCGGCAGAGAGATGATTCTCTCAGGTCAGGATCATGAAGCGCGAATTTACGACAACGATTTCCCTGACACTCCCCGAGCAGTACACCCGCGAAAAAGGCCCGAACTACTATCTAAGATTTTTGAAGATGTCAAAAATCGCATCAAACAATCCCAGGAGCGAAGCGCACGTGTATATAATCTACGGAGACGAGACGTCACATATAATGTGGGTCAAAAGGTATATAGGCATAATTACGTTAATTCGAAAGGGGGTCAGTACTTTACTGCTAAGTTAGCTCCCAGATTTATCGGTCCTTTTGTAATTCACAAGAAAGTGTCACCCTGGACGTATGAATTGAGAGATATGAATAATCGAGATGCCGGTACTTGGCACGCCAAAGATCTCAGACTAGATACCTCCATCGTTGAACCAACCGTGACTCCGACATAGCCAGGAGTGTATGTAGGGAAAATCGGTGGTGTATAGTAGTAGATGTTTTTTTGTTTATAGGGCCATGTGAGTTGTTGGCCACCTCAGTGGATTAGGTGTAAGCAAAAATAGTTTTCGATGAGTCGGACTTATGTAGTTAAGATTTAGTAATAGGTGAAGTAGGTTATAGATAGGGATTGTATCATATAGGAGCTATATGAAAGGATGCGCATTTATTGAGGCTGTCGAAGAAACCTTAGGGGATTTTCTATGGAAGAAACCATAATACTATACACACTGAACACTACACACTCACGTAATCGTCTTTTTTTTTATTGTTTTTTTGTATGGGTAAAGGGAGAGTTGTTACAAGTAAAAATTTTCCTAGGAAAGAACTATATCAATTTCTATTTTTAAACCACAAAATTAGGTAATCATTAATTTTTCAGAAATAGTAGGTATCCATCAGGTAGGTGCGTGGTGTTATTGATAGAGGAAATGTAGTATCACTCTGTATAGGCTCTGGTCCAGTATTCCACTTGAATGTATATGACCCTGTAACCAAGAATTTACCGATACAGAAATTTATAATGGAGCAAGTATTATAATAATTTATGATACCAAACTCACTAGTAATCTTACCTTTGAACACTCTGTAGAAGAATGAACGACACATTTGGGTACTCTATAGCTCATTGCTTCATCTCCCTGTTTTGTAGTCACCGATACAAAGACCAAATATTGATCCCTCTGATAGTAGGATTTCTGGCAACAGGCTTCTCTCTGCAACACAAGAATAGTTAGAAGACAACAACTCAATAGTTGCATATCATATCTACCTTCAATCTCATGGTTCATCTTGGTTATCGAGTTTATCAATCTTGTTTACAACGAACAAGGACGAACACAGGTACCACAGCTCGATAACCTGTCAGGAAAGAGTGACCTACATTTCGATCAGCTGATGCACACGGTGACAGATCGCAGCTACTTTAGCGACTAATCTCGTGTCGATTGTTCTTTTGTTATTCCCAGTGTAGGTGATATATATATATATTTGCGAAGGTCGAGTTCTTCAATCGTGGCAAGACTATCACTCGCATGCTTGAATGACCCATGGCCATCTCCGAAAACGCTGGCATCGTCGCGGATCGATTCGAAGTCACATATTATGACGTCATATTGTGTTCTCACCAGCGCTGGTACCTATTCTGGTTTTGGTGCTTTAGCATGCTGCTGTCAGCTCTCAAGTCAAGACACTTGACAGAATGACGGACTTCATTTTACCATCATGAATGGTATGTCGACATTGGGGAATTCATTTTTTTGGTTATCCTTCCTCGTGCTCATAAAGGAGCAATTTCTGTTTGTCAGGATTTTTAGGAGCCGAATAATACAGTGATCGGAATATAGTTTGATTCCCGAGTCTTGGGGTATTATACCTATGTAATAGGATTTGAGTTCCGATCACTATCCCTAATTTGTTTCGTGAAGAAACCACATTGAAAGCCACTCACCAACCCAGGTAGGTGTACTCTGCTTTGCATTCGTTTATTCTGTCTCATATTTCTACTTAAAGGAGCCGTGGGTTCTTCATTACTACTAATCTACCCATTTCAGGCTTTTCCGCCCCCCCCTACTTGGGGCCCTGTCACAGGCCTTGCACCAGACCCTGCATCAATACGACCTAGAAGTGTCCTATTTCCTCGAACTATACCTGTAGCTGATATCATCCTACCTATGCTTGGCTGTATATTACTAGAAGTGTGATATCCTCTGCTTCATTTAGCATGCGTAGGTGCCTCTACCAGTAGTGAGAGAGGCCCCGTATCGTCGAAGAGTCCTGTGGGAAAGGGCAGCTTTTCAAGTAAGATCCAACCAGTACTATGCATGGCAATTTAATTCCCTGCTGCTTGGCTTTATCATCATAGAAGATAATTTGCTTTTGTGCTTTCCGAACACGTACCTACGCAGTATATATTATCTATTTCACATAATAGGGGAATGAATAACCCTCAAAATTTAAATAATTGATATGGTGTGAACCGACAGTATATATACTAAGGGGACAGTAACATTATTATTCCCTTTCCTATTATTGTTACACTAATCATTGTATCTATCGATGAGCTTGTAGGTACATCAACGTGTTTATCTATAAATACCTACTCATTTGATTAACGATCTGGTTTTTGTTTCATTTTTGGGTCTGTACCCTACCACTAGCAATACGAACCCTAACCCCCCCGCTAGCTAACCGGAGTGTGCGACTCCCGCAGGTTGTGCACTATAAAGATTTATTTGCTACACAGAGGATCTTCTATCCCCTGGCTTTCCATCTGTTTTCTCCTAATTTTAACGTAGCACATCGATTTAAAATTGAGTTAACCATGTACCATCTGGGTTATGAAATATTGATTATAAACATTATCTACTCACCTCAAATACAACCAGGTTAATTGATTATACCAGTCGCCAAGTTGATGAGAAGTGGGAAAGTATTTTATGAGATACTCCAGCCATGTTTTCACTATATCAGGAAATTTCGTTTTGAGTGCTTCTGTAACCATTGAAAAGCAACAAAGATATACCGATACAGCAGTAAATTGTTTCAAATGAGGAACAGCTTGGTACCTATTCGGATCTTCACTTGCTCTGCTGAAAAACTTTTCTCTTTGAATATAATCTTAAATTTCACAGCTCAAAACTAACTTCTTTTCAAGCTCCTGCAAATTTTGAAAGACCGTATTGGACTGTTGCAGCAATTCTAAATAATTGTTCAATTTCAAAGTATCTTCTAAACGTTTCTTCAGTTTCCGGGCATTGACATAACTAGAAAGAAATATTAAATTAACTCACTGGTGGTGAATTCAAGTACGGCTTAACTTTTAGTTCCAACTTATTGGGAATTAGAGAATCTGATTGGCGAATACAACATTGATTCCTTGTATTAACCAATAATCACCCTCAGGGGTATACAAACTCAACTGTGGATCTTGTCCTAAGGTATATAGCGGTCAGACAGGTCGTACGTTTAATCAGCACATTCATGAACATAAGATGAATTTTTCGAAAAAGAAATCTTATCGTTTGTGAAGTTTTTACATTTGCCATGGATTTTCATTAAGTAACGGCTGAGTCAATTAAAAAAAATAATCACCCATTATAATAATTATATTCTCAAGATTGAGCTAAGATATCGTAAATTCAGCATTATTTCATCATTGTCAAATATAAAAACCTCAAATATATCATATTACATTAGATCAAATTCATTTTGTCGATCAAGTAACAATTTATTAAAGCTTTCACGACGTTTTAAAACACCAACTCTTCAGATCAACCTGAATAAAATGTATGATGGAATAAGAATAGTATATTACATGCCAAGATAAATTTCTCGATTTTCCACTTTCACATCCAATTTTCAGACATTATTATTTTTTCATTTTTCAATCAACTTTATGAAAAATATTTAGTGAAATGTTAAAACGACACTAACTTTCCATTAACTTGACAATAACTTAAATTACCATAATTCAGCATAATAATCATTCATTGGTACATCATAATCTAAAGACCCTGTAACTGTGCGATTTTCGAATATTTCCACCCATGTGAGTTTTACTTTCGAACTTTCTAACTGTTATATGTTGTCATAGTGAAACGAGTCACTTTCTCAATAACAAACCAATGTGTTTTGTGCGGTTTTCATCGGTGGTCGTAGGAAAAACTTATTTGCACATATAGAACATGTGAATGTAAGCTCAAGAAATATTATTATTCAATATGGCGGCCCGGTGGTCGAGAGCGCGAAGGCGCTGAGTTCGTATGGGGACTCCCACCGAGGCATGGGTTCGAATCCCAGTTAGGCCATGGATATTTCTAAATGCATGCTTTCCTAACCCCGCACAAGTTTCGACTTCTAGGGAGTTGAATCCCGTGCTAGGTCCAACGAGGAAATGCAATTGAAAATAATAATAACAAATAAAAAAAGTATTACTCACCTTACAAACTCCTCTCTAGTGTAGAAAACCACATAATCTTCCAGTTTATACTCAGGAAAAGCTGTTTTATGATTAACCATGATATCTATAAAATCATTGACATTGTCGAAAACAGGATTAGTAAACGTTCCCAATATAAAGACGTTATAATAGGCTTCCCTAAAGTTGTCATTCAATTTCACGCTGTATCCCATCTGACGTTTTATTTCTTCCATAATTAAATCTTTCGCAGATTTCGTTAATGAGGTTGATGGCATATTGCAATATTTAAGAAGACATTGCATCATATTTTCTTTTTTTATTAGCGATTTTGATGTCCCTGTTTTCAATATTCTGAATTTCTCACAAATGCTTTTCATTTGTACTTTGTTGAGATCATTCATCAGGATTGGCAATTCATCTTTGTATATGTCTAAAAAAGATACCAATAAATCCATACAATGTGGGTCTAAAACTCAAAGTCTCCCCCTCCATTTCAACTGTTACACAGACGAGATAATAATTTAAAAACGAAGATGATCAAATTACGTCATGTAAACCAGGTCCTGGCTGGAGAGTGATAGTTTAAATTTGTGGCTGTATATAATTTGTCAGAACGTATTCCATCGGAACCGTATTGTATCGGAGTATATTCGATCAAAATGGTATTTTAACGGAACCGTAATTCAACGGAGCAGTAATTCGTCGGAATCTAAAACATTATGAAATCCATCATGTAGTAAACTGAAGGGATGTACTCTGTAGGAACGTAAAACATCATAACCGTATTTCATCAGAATCGTATTCTAACGAAACTGTATATCATTAGAACTGTATTTAATAGAAACCGTAATTCATCACAATCACAATTCATAGAAACCGTACTGTAGCAGAACGGTATTTTGTCAGGATAATTTGACAAGTATTGTCAAAATTAAAACTATTTTTGTCGATAACGCGCACATGTGTACGTGTACTACTTTTTAATGAAATCTGGAACATCATAGGCAGGTTTACACCATACAAATTTATTCACACAACTGTACTATATGGGAATCATAAAGAATCACAACATATCACATCAAAGAATCGACATTATAATCAAGTTTATCGCTACGAAATGCTGCTCCTACGGAATACGGTTCTGATTAATTGCTGTCAACTATAAAATACGATGCCGATAAATTATTGATGTACCGATGGAATACAGTTCCTATGCAATACGGTTTTGAAGCAATACAATTCTGATTTTTTACTCGATGAAAAACGTTCCTATACAATAAGGTTTTGACGAGATACGATTCTGATGATTTCTATTGCTATGGAATGAGGTTCTGTTGGATTAATATTCCTATATAATACGATTCTCCAGACAGAATAAGATTATGATGAATTACCGCCGTGATGGAATACGGTTCTCATAAATTACTGTTTTGATCGAATACGATTCTTATTCAATACCATTCTGATGGATTACATTTTGACGAATTACGTTTTGTTACTTAACATTCTTACAAAGTACGATTCTATGTTTTACATTGCGATAAATACGTGCCTACCGAATACAGTTCCAGTCAATTATGTTTCCTACTAATTACCATTCTGGTGAAATATTCCATAGATTATATTTTGATACTTAATATTCTGACGTTTTAGGTGTCTCCTAATTTTGGCAGGTGCTGTGGACACTACCAACAACCTATCAACTCAAAAATATCGATGGGCAAATGAGCTTGTGTGATACAACTCATTTTACGTGCATTTGGATTCTTTAATCAACCATTATCAACGTTCAAAATTTTTTAGTTAACGAATAAGTTAATTATTATCACTGAAGTTAAGATTATAACGAAAACCAATATGACAAACGGTAGTTTTTCATACTAGAATTAATTAAAAGAAACATATAGATTACATTTAACATTTGAACATTTCTGACTTCACAAGAAGATAATAACATCTGCCAAAATTAAACAATAACTATTGGGCTAAAACGTGGTTTACTTAATTCAAAGGTTAATGAGGGGGAGACCAGCAGGTAGTGACAGATTTTTGGTCGTGATTTCACCCAGTATGCCTCTCTAATGATATCGAAAGGTCTCTGAATTTTACTGAAAAAAGTTAATTATAACTTTGAATTCAAGTTATACCTTGAACGTTTATATACATATATATTATTTTAATATATTATCATATAAATTGAATATACAGGGTGTTTCCTAATTGAATGTCAATATTTGAGACAGCGATTCTTGGGCCCATTTTAAGAAGAACATTTCATATGAACGTGAACGATGGTACGCGACTGATTAATCTCGGAATTGAAATCATTCCTGGAATTTTCAATCATTCCTAAACTTTTATCTCTACATTTTTTTCGATCTGACGCACGGTTTTCCCTTGAAAAAAATAAAAACCTTTTCACTGCATGATCATAACAATATCGTAAATAATATGACAATATTGACAATACCACAATGCATAAATATAGATTTAGTTTTTTAGGTCAAAACCATGATAGTAGAAGGACTATGCCGTTTGTGCTTCAAAGCCGCCATCAACACTCCCTAGGTGGCGCTGTAGATGTGGCGATAGTTTTAACTTCTTGATGTTTGTATTTATAATATGTATTATTCGTATGGTGACGTCATTTTTGTGCCAATTTATATTCCGAATTAAATAAAAAAAGCTATGAGCTGTGCGAACGGGGAATCGAACCCCGGCCGACGGACTGTGAGTCCAAAGCGCTACCATTGCGCCACATCCACAAGTAAATGCTTGTGTTCAAGTTGGGGATATAACATGCCGGCCGGCCAGCGCGCGGGTCGCCTTCACTGGCAGACGTCGGATACTTGGTGCGCGGCGCACCGCATCGTTGCCAGACGTTCAAGTATTTGGGTGTTACTCCGTAATACGGACGTGGGCCATTTGAAGGTGTGTGATGTGAAATATTCAACTGATGTCTTATGATAGATAACGTATTGTCGTTTTGACGTGCATAATCGAGAGTAAGAAGAAAAAATACAACAATTTTAATAATAAACTAGCAACATTCAATGTACATGCGAGAGTTGTGAACTTGGAGCGATTCGACGATTCCTGGTACGATGTACCAACTTTCGATCACAACCACACCATCACATCCTGTATGCACCACCTCCGTCGGGAATCCTACAATTGCAGTCTTCGCAACGTTGATATTTTATACAAATGGTTCGATAATATGATACCCAAATGATGTTTCTTTATTATTCAATAAAAATAGCATATTCACTCTAATGAAAATTGAACTTCTGGCAACGATGCGGTGCGCCGCGCACCAAGTATCCGACGTCTGCCAGTGAAGGCGACCCGCGCGCTGGCCGGCCGGCATGTTAATCATGTTATATCCCCAACTTGAACACAAACATTTACTTGTGGATGTGGCGCAATGGTAGCGCTTCGGACTCACAGTCCGTCGGCCGGGGTTCGATTCCCCGTTCGCACAGCTCACAGCTTTTTTTATTTAATTCGGAATATAAATTGGCGCAAAAATGACGTCACCATACGAATAATACATATTATTATAAATACAAACATCAAGAAGTTAAAACTATCGCCACATCTACAGCGCCACCTAGGGAGTGTTGATGGCGGCTTTGAAGCACAAACGGCATAGTCCTTCTACTCATGATTCGGACTGAAATAATTCAAGAGATCAGATAAAGTGGTATTACAGATATTGCTAAAAAACTTTTTATTTTTGAGAGCTTCACCCCCCTGTATCTCAAAAGTTAAGACGTTTAGGCTCGCGTTTAGGTCATACGTTCCTATGAAATTTTCTTCTTGAAATGGACCCGAGAATCGTCTCCTCAAATATTGACATTCAATTAGGAAACACCCTGTATATATTATTATAATTCAATCCAAAACCTCATATTTATTCAGTTTGCCGAAAAAATCAATGTGGGGACGAAGAATACTTGTTTTTATTGCAGCAATACACGGTGCATCTTCTACTGAAGGCAACATTCCCCGAGCTATTTGGAATTTTTTTGAATACAACTAAAAAACAGTCAAGTAGTCCCAAAGATCATGTGATTCACAAAGGTACGCTACTATGCTTATTTAAAGAACTTTTCCATTGACCAAGTTTTATGTTTATGATATTGATCATTAATGAAAGAACCAGAGAACATGGAATGACCTCATTGGTTTACCAGAAATTTATCAAATGTCTTTCTTTCCTGATCTTATTTTCAGTTTCTTCATATTCCTCATTAATCTTATTATCACATTTTGACTATAAACCATCTCAACAGATCAGACTTTGAAAGAGGACATGTACCTACCCTACTAACAATAATGTTCAACCATATTGCTTTATCATTTGTTATTTCCATATTTATGATCTCAAAGTGTACCAATAACAAAATAGCATAAAGTTTTCCTGGATAACTGGTCTTTCAAACTATTTGAGGGGAGGAATAAAATCTTCCCTGTATAAATCACTCTCCCTGAGGCTCTCATCTACTGCTCTACTTCCAAAGTATTCTGTATTCTCCCTTCTTCAGATACTTAATACTATGAAGAATCACCAAATGAATATTATACCAGGTTTGATGTTGGGTTGATGTTAATGAGTAGTAAAATAAATCTACTTACCATTATCTACAATTTTCTTATGTATCAACCATTTATACAAGTTGATGATTTCTTTGTCATCTAATCCAATCATGATCCTCTTGCAAAACTGGAATATATTATACCACTTTGGCTGCCCTGTACAAAGCTTTAGACATACAAAGACATGTTTTGGATTACCAGTAGTCATCAGTGATTTCAGAACAGGCTTTTCTGCTTCAACAAGATTTTTTAAATATGGTGAAGTGTATACAGTTTTGAACAAGCCATTCATGACAATCACATGATTGATATTTATATCTTTCAACTCCTTCTTTGGCCTCTTTTCTGGAAATCTCTTACTGGGAGACAAAAACAAATCATCATCAGCTTTCCTCTTACTAGGACTTGTGACATTTGATGGTAGAGCTTTATCCAAGTTTCTTATCTCCTGATTTTTCCTGTTTTTGTCATCTGATTCTGATTTTTTCTTACTCCCTTCAGTTTGTTGAGCAACTGAAGTCAATAGCACCTTCAATTGCTTGACTTTAGTTAGGTTTCCTTTCTTATGACCCTGAACATTCTGTTCCACAGGACTGGTTTCTGCTATATCTTTACTGGGCAACAAAAATGAATTATCAGCTTGTCTGCTCATTGAATTATTCTCAACATGTGATGATTTGACTTTGTTCAAGTTTCTCTTTACCTGGTTTTCTATTTTGCCTAGTTTTTCTGGAATATTTGATGGATTTACTATACTTTCTTCAGATTGTCCAGCAATAACTGTATCAGTTGAACTGTTTTCAGCTTTTCTCTTTGTAGGACTCTCCCTGAGAGGAAAAAAATAATTCAGAGCTTTTCTCTTCATAGGACTGGAAATAGTAGTTGATCCTACTGATGGTAAGGCTTCATCAGAGTTAATTTTTTTCTGGTTTTGCATGTTTCTGTCATGTGATTCTGATCCTTTTTTACTTTTATCAAATTGTTGAGAAACAGAAGTCAATGGGGCAGCATCATTCAAGCTTTTATGTCCCTGGTTTTGGTTTTGGTCAGGTGATTCTGATTGTTTTTTTATACCTTGTGTTTGTTGTGGAATAGAACTAAGTGATATTGATTTATTCAAGCTTATATCCTTATGACTTTGAGTTTTTGATGCTATGGTTTTACTTAATATTCCTTCCTTATGGTTTTCAGGATTTTTTTCAAGAAATTCAGAGTTTGTTTTGCTTCCCCCTAACTCTAATTGTTGAACAATTGTGCAAGTTGGTCTAGGTACATGGTGGTTTTGTACACAGATTTCATTAGTTTTTCTCTTCAACCCCATAGCACTCTTCTTTGGTATTTTCTCATTATTGGATGACAATAATGAAAAAGTATCTTCAGATTCCCTGTTCTTAGTACTACTATCAGAAGTCAATAATGCAGATGCATTGTTCAACTTATCTTTTTCCTGATTTTGGCCATATTTTCCTGAGGAATCTGAATGTTTCTTATTTTCTACTGATTGTCCAGCAACTACAACTGTTCCTGATTTTTCAGGAATATTTGAAACAGATGAAGGTTTATTGTTTTCCAAATCACCTAATGATGAAATCAAAATGTCTTGCTTAATGATTACTCTTCCTGTACTTTTAGTTCCAAAAGTAATTCCGAAATTGTCAGTTTCAGATTCATCTTCACCAGAATCTTCAAGTTTGATAGTGTGTTGAGATGATTCATCTTCAGAAATGGAATTTTGGGAGTTCAGTGGAGTAGAGTGGGCATTCGGTTTGTCAAATTCAATGATACCAGAATTTTCAGGAAATTCTTTTACAGTTTTTGAACAATAATCTCTTCTAGTATCTGTATCTGAATCAGAATCATCAGTGTCCAATTGTGTCAGATCTATCAACACAGGTGCATTGAATTTAATTTTCATCTGATATTTCATTATCAGTTGGTTCTGTTTCTTCTCCAAAAATTTATGCAGTGAAAATGTTTTTCTGTATTTGTATGGATATTGATAACCAATAGATAATGGCATCATTCAACAGTCTATCCTCACATCTATATGATTGTAACATTTTCAAGTATTTTGTCATTTTTGTCCATCATTATTTTCAATATTTCCATAAATAAATATAAGAAAATACCTTCCTCTCCACAAAATTATAGGTTATGTTATTTACTTGTCAATGTCAAGTTTCAAGTTTCAATTATTGGTCTTGCATGAATTCAATGCAAAATCAATGTGACCTGAAATAAGGTATTTTCATTTTCGGCAAATAGGTCAAATAGCTGTTTCGGCGTCATTACCACTTTCGGTAACTTGCCCACTGCCGTTTTTTTGTTTCGGCGTTTGACCGAAATATTACTGTCACTAAAAGTCAAAATTTTGCTGAAAATACGTTGAACAGTTATTCGTTGCACTAGGCAGAAAAGTAGTAAATCCACATTTGCTGCCTTGTGAAACATAGAATTTTTTCTCCAAATGATATGAAACCAATTTTGTGTAATTTTTTTATTGAAAATCCCATCATTTTGAGTTTATACCCAATGTCAGTGTCAATTTTGATTACTAATTTGATTAGAATTTCTTGGAACGTTACATAGCAACAAATTTTTTCTTCGATTGGCAGCAAATATTAATTTTGCTGACCCATATCAATCAGCAAAGTATTACTTTTCCTGCCTAGGCAGCAAAGTGGTTACTTTGCTGATTGATATGTATCAGCAATAGTATATTACGCAACATGGATTTCCATCAATTTTGCAGCAGAATTTCGCAACAGTTTGATGGTTACTTGTTTCTTCAATTCATGCGCATGACAAAATAACCTACTATTCTTTGACAAAATGTTGGAATGAAAAACGCAGTCGAAATGAAGCATCGTTACATAAGGTTGCGATGCAACAAAAATAATCTGTGTGGTGAGGATTATTCTTTGGGTGAAATGTTTTGTGATTTCACAAGAAACACATTAGCCAAAGGTAGCGACGTTAGCGTACAAGGTCATGAGTTCGAAGCCTCTTTTACTTATTTCGACTGAAGCGCTGTCTATTGCCTGTCTATGTCTGAAAGGGGGTTTTATTCTCTATTCAACCGTGCAAAGGAACTGGAATTTCAAATGAGCTATCACTCACCCCCCCCCATGCTATATAAATTTTTTGACAAGGTTGCTCCCTTCCCTTCCGCTTTCCAGTAAGGGATGAAATTAGGAGTGAACTATTCCTACGAAAATATACACTGTAGAAATCAAAAATTTACGGGTCTCGGCGATTTTACTAACAAGAGTCCCGTAACCTACCGTAACGAGTTAGATAAGACTTATGATACGCACTATTTTGCTGTTCTCTGTTATTAGAGAGTTGAAGTAATCACTGTACGTAGACCTCTACGTAGACGTTAAGGTACGAAAAATAACGTTTACGTTTTGTCGTTAAATTGAGTTGAAGTCGTCAATGTCATCATAACGTGATAATACATTTTGTTTTCGGTTTGTATTGGTCAATTTTGGTTGTGTGTTTAGATTCGAACATTTATTCCTGTCAAAATGAGAGGACTCCTTGATGCAGAACTCGTTGGGATCCCAAATTTGATAATTTTGACTCATCGGCATATTTCGAGTATAGTTTGGTTAACGTACGTTGATATTTAAGGTATACGTGAAGGTACGTGAGATAACGTATACCCGTAAGCCCACTAACAACGCCAACGTGAAGAATTGGAAAATGCGCATGCGTAGCTGTCAATTTCCACGTTTACGTTAACGTTCATGATAACACTTCAACTCTCTATTATTTTGTTGTGCTATTTCGAAGTGATTAAATGAAAAAATATACTGAAGAGTCATTTGATGTTAGGGCCGATTGGATACTGATTCGCTATTTCAATTATGTTTTTTTTTCTAGTAGGGGCTGTTGCGCTTTATTGCGTCCTGTCCCTAGAGTCTCTAGCTAGATGCTTCAACTCTGGTCGTATTGAATTCGTGCTTCCCATGGCTTCCCGCCCAAGGATATTTTTTCCTTTCCCGCCAGCAGAACCAAATTTGAAATGTCAAAATGACAAACGACTAACATAACCTCAAACCCCGAATCCCCATATTTATTTTATTTACTTTGCTACCTAGGAGGACGTGTTTTCAAGATTTTTCCTAACAAACTATCTATAATTGAACATTATAACATAATCTGTGATGCAGTCTCGATTATCTGTTACTAGTCAATCCAAACAAACCACTATCTTCTCTGCATTCCAAAAGTGGAAATCTCTAGAGAAGAAACAACAAATAATGAAATATCAGATGAAAACAAAATGCATTACACCAGTGTTGATAGATCTGTCCCAGTTGGATACTGATTCAGATTCTGATATGGAAACTACAGCAGGAACAAGATTAGCTAATGATTGTTCACAAATAGTGAAACTTGAATATTCTGAGATGATTGGAGTAAACATACCAAACAAACCCTTGAGCAAACCTAATGCTTCCTCAACTCCTCTAAAGTTACAAAATCTTATGCAAAATAGTTTTCTGTCTGATGAGGAATCATCTCAGAGCACTGTCATACTTGAAGAATCAGAGGGTAGCTTGGAGGACACCATCAATTTAGAAGATTATGTTGGAAAGGTCATTTTTGATGAAACTCTTTCGCGTACCTCATCAGAAGATATCAAAAATAGTAAACCTTCATTAGTTCCATATGCTTCCAATATAACTGAAATGGTAGTTGCCAGACAATCTGGAGGATATAAGATGAATCCAGAACCACTGGACAAAAATAGAAAGCTACAAGAAAATGAGAACAAAGCTTTGGATAAATCCCCAACATTGACTCATAAAAGTCCCACAAAAAGAAAAGCTGATGATGTACCTAATGAAGAAATTTCAGAGAAAAGCCCTAAGAGAGAGTCAAAGAGAATGAACAACAATTATTTGATTGTTATGAATGACTTGTTTGAAAATGTACACAATTCACCATACTTAAGAACTCTTGTTGAAGCAGAAAAGCCAGTTCTGAATATGATGGTTACTGCTGATCCAAAATACTTCTTTGTTTGTCTAAAGCTTTGCACCTGGCTACCAAAGTGGTACAATATATTCAAGTTTTGTGAGAAGATCATGGTTGGATTGGAAGAGAATGAAATCATTAACTTGTATAAGTTTTTGAAACACAATGAAATTGTAGATATAAGTGAGTAGATTTTTTTTATCATGGCTTACTTATACCTAGCTATAATTATTTAGTATGATGATTCTTAATATCAACTAAAATCTTGACTGGAATGGATATAAGTAGGTACCTATACAGAGAAGTGCAGAAAACATTGCCAGTGCTGTAGGTTCTGAATAATTTGTGATCAGATTCTGAAATATGGTGGGTAGCAAGATACATCTCTGTAGCAAGTATACCAAATTGCTCATTCATCTTGTCAATTATTGACAAACCAATTATTGTTTTATAATTTCCAGTTTAACCAGAAACAGTCCCAATTTTTGATTTTTAAATAGGATATCCTGTATATTTCTTGATATTTGGATTCAGGGGATCTTTTTACACACACTAAAAGCTCAGTTTAATCAAAATGTCATATCTGAAAATTAAAAGTTGGGGTTGGTTCCAGTTGTAGATAAAATAAATATATTCTGTAGATAAAAGGCAATTTGGTATATGATTGCAACCCACCAAGATTCAAAATCTGACCTCTAATGATTCAGATGTTATAGCATTTGCTATTTTTTGTGCACTTCTCTATATATATTAACAATTAATGAAATGACAATTCCCACTAAACACTAATAGTGATATACAATAAATTAACTCAAATGAACTTGCCTAACCCTGTTCCTAACTCATATACCTTCTGAAAGGATTTATAATTTCCTATATATACATTGACAAATGAGTTGACAAAGGTCTGAGTCCCTTGGTATGCATGCCAAAAAGTTCATGAATAAACATGTATCCTAAATTGTTTAATTGTTTAATTTTTGAGATGGACCAGATGATGAGGTTAGAAGTATTAATTGATTTTTTGTGATCACCCTGTATAAGCTGTCTTGGTGGAAAAATAAAATGTCTAGTTTCAATACTTAGGAATGCTGCTTGTTGAGGTTGATAATAATAATAATAAATTTCCTTTATTTCAAATTATGTTGATACACAAACTGAAATGACATCAGGGAACAAAATAAAAACCAACAAACTAGGTACATAATATACCATAATATACCCATCTACATATAACATCTTAGAAAATATAATTCATATCAGTCAAGTATTCACTCACACTATATGGTTATATTTCTTATGAGCTTTTTAAATTCCCAAATACTTGAGATATTTCTTATATGATTTGGTAACTTATTAAAGAACTTTAAGCACATGTAATGTGGACCCTTTTCAGTTGATGTCAAATGGTGGATATGATGTAAAACATTTTGATTTCTTGTATTATAATTGTGTTCAGCTTGAAAATTAAAGGACCCTGCACCATTTACATTGAATTCCTGTCCAAGGGAAAATGTTGTGAAAATGTAGTATTTGATAAATTGATGCTGAAAAAGAAATGTCCTTTGGTCCCAGGACGCCGTTTTGCCCGTTAAAAAAAGTTATGAGCTCTTGGAGCCAAACCAGATAACCTCTACCAGAACCTCCAACAAAACAAAATAGATTCTAGAGAAGGGCTCTGTACCTATTCCTATTGGTCATGAATGTATGTGTGAGTGTAAACATTTGTAACCATAATAAATAGAGATCGACCGATACCGATATTTATATCGGCCTATCGGTGATATCGGCCTCATTGGCCGATTATCGTATCGGCCGATATCAAAAACCGATAGACCGATATATTTTTTTTATTGGGAAAAAAATCAATTTGAAGAATGAATGAAAAAAATACACTTCCATCAAAAATATATCTTTATTACCAATAAAAAGTATGTAACGTAAAATCAACTGAATTCTTTGACTCGAGCTTTGACTAGTAATTAAAAATTAATAAAATAAAACCCTATGCGGATTGCAACTGTAAGGTAAAATTATTTCACCTTACTAAAATACAAAAATAACTGATTAATACTCATAATTTAGTTTTGCTAGGTTGTGATGCAAAAACAATAAGCTTTCTGCCCTATCATTAGTTAGCCTGCTACGTTTTGCATCATAAATATTACCAGCTTCAGAGAGAATAAACCGATATATCGGTATATATATCGGTATTTGAAATATCGGTATCGGCCGATTATCGGTATCGGCTAAAATTTCTATATCGGTCGATCCCTAATAATAAATCTGATTCCTGTTGAATTTTTGAGTATTCTTTACTGGTTATAATTTCTTTCTGGAAGTTTTTCTGGAGGCTTAATTTCATATACATAACTCTAAAAAATAGAAATCATCTACTTCACTGGGTTCTAGAAAGAGAAGTCCAAAACAATAGTGCAGCCATTTGCCAACATCTTTATATATTCGGTATTTGGTTCAATCTGAATCTATACTAATATTATATACAGGGTGAGTCATGATGAACTGTACATACTCCTACCATGAATAAAGGCCCCTGAGGGGAATACCGAATGTCCATCAGAAAGTGTCTTCCTCACTTATTTTCCAATATATGTACAGTGTGTCCCACTTACCATGCTCACCATGGGTATCTTTTTAACGGTGAGAGATACGAGGTCGGTTAAATGACACCAAATGTGGAGTTTGTCAAGGCCAACTTTAATGTGAAAAAATATTTTGATAAAATCTATTCGCTTTTGTTGTATATGCAAAAAACAGATTTTGATCATTTTCATGTCTCCTCCATAACTTCTTTATTTATGAAAATATTCAAATAGGAATTTCACATTCTCATGGCAGTTTTTCAAAATGATTTCGAAAAAAATATGAAATTTATACCAACTCTTCTAGAATTTGAGATAACAGACCCAACTTTAGTTTTTCAAATGTAGGTCATAGCTCACTATGACTTGGTTACAAATAAATTTTTTTTCTCTTACAGATGATATGTCGCAGTAATAGTTTTGTGGTGATAACAACGGAGTTATCGTCATTTATACAAAAACAAAAAATTTTAACAAAAAAATCATGATCTCCGACCTCAAAAACCCCCACTTACCAATTTTGAATGTAATCGGACCAAATCTTGTCCGCCATCTTGGAGCAGCCATTTTCTTTAATTTCAACAAAAATTCCATAATGATTGTCACCGAAATTATGAACACCTGCCAAATTTCAAGTTAATCGAAGTTATGGAATTTTCGCGCCGACGAATGAAAATAAAATATCACAGTAGTAGCAACTGTTATCAAGTGACGTATGGTTCTCATAGCCAACTTTTCAATTTTTGGCTTTCATTTTGCTTCCACGGCCTACTCGGTGAATTTCAAAAATAATTTTTTCCTGATCTAGTTTCTGGTTAGATACAAACTTGTGATATGTCATTAGAAAGGGAATTGAATGCTGAATAGAGCGAAAAGAAAAAAAAAATTTGGTTTCTATTTAAAATAAGAAAGTTGATGTTACTTCCGGTCAGACCGGAAGTTAACTTCGACATGTCAATATGCTCAAATTCTAGCTCTTATGTCATTATATGGACGCTCCAAATTTCACAAACCTACTTAACTGAGATATTCCGTAGGCAATACTTCCGTAGCCACCCGATATATACACTGTTGATGGTTTTTGTTGTGCTATAGTTCCTAAAAATGAATCAATAATACCGTCTCCGAGAAAGAACTGCAAGTCCTTTTATTTTCCATTCGAATTCGCGGTTACGTATATTATAAATTCGCAAGTTTTTGAAATCAAATCACAGAATTAGACTGACAGAAGTGACATCAGATATTTGATCACTTAAAAAGAATGATAAAGATGCCTACAACGCAGGTGTCCCTTGTGTTAAAAACTCAAAATTTCACGTCGATAATTTTCAGATTTCAAAATAATGTAATATCTTCTCAATATTGATTCGTCTTTTCTTCTGTCACAGAAAAAAATAGTGTATTATACACGGGAAAAATATTAGATTTTAGCTCACAACCTGGAGCTAAAATCTACTACTTTTTTCCTTGTATAATAAATAACTAGTATTAATTAACACTATAGGACATTCCAACTAGTAAACGTGACAACACGGCGCACGAATTGTCTCGTCAGTTCTCAGCCAGCACAATGTTGCCAAGTCTCCTACATTTACATGATATTTTGTTATGGAGTACGCATAAGAAATATTTGGACATGCTGGTTGCTCGAAAAAGTCAAGAATGAACTATAGTATCATGGCATCATCCTATTATGTTTTATTCAACGACATTCTATGTATTGAGTTTATCATAAAAATTGATCCTCAGGCACTGAATTCAGTCTTTTATTTTCTACTTAAAAGATCCAACTTGTATTCTAAAACTGAAAATTCTGTGTTTTTAATCTTTTTTGTCATTAAGTGATGTCCCATGATATCTGGGACACCTTGTATAAGATGTATTCGAGATGCAATATAATGTGTTGATAAGTCTTATAGTTTTGGAGATAATTGATGAAAACATTGGTGGACAACGTTTCATTGGATTTTTTTTCAGACATCTGTGAACAGGACTTGCTGACCCTATTGAATGATCTGAGCAAAGTGCAATTGAAAAGCATATGTGACAAATTCAAAATGTTGAAAACACTGACATCAAAATCCACAATGAGAAAAGAAGACATTATACAATCTCTTCTCAAATATTGCAATACCCAATCTACCTTATTGAAAAAAACTGCAAAGGATTTATTGATGGAAGAAGTAGAACGACAAATGGAATATTGTGTGAAACTGAATGATAGCTTCAGAGAAACTTTCTATAACGCTTATATATTGGGAACTTTTACTAATCCCGCTTTCGATGATATCAGAGATTTTTTCAATAATATGCTCAATTTTAGAACTGTTTTTCCCGAATATAAAGTGGAAGATCATATGGTATTCTCCAGTAAAGATGAGTTTAAAAGGTAAAGTTCAATATTATTATTACACATATTATACAGGGTGGGCCACCAGTAACGCCTCGGTCTCTAGAAGGCTAACCACTTATCTTCTTGGAATTCTTCCTCTCTAGGAAGTTGCATGTCAACATAGGCTACCATTTGAAATTATTTTGAAACATACAGAATGTCCCCAAAAATCACAAAACACTGAAGTTGAACTTTTTTCAATCGAACACCCTATATATTATTTCATTTTGAGATTCTCCCTGGTGAGCTGATTTCAACAATTCATCATACTTGAGGTCTAGCAGTTATAATTACTGAGATATAGGGTGTGGGAAATCGAGATTTTCCAAGTTCAAGAATTTTTTGTGTCTAAACCATTCATAATTGGCCAAAACGGCTCAACTTTTGATCAACTATCTACTGACATTTAATTGAAACAAATACAGGTTGGTGCAGAATTCAGAATCTTGATCACCCGGTATATGTCCCAATTAAATATCAGTAGATAGTTGATCAAAAGTTGAGATAGGGACATGTAAGCCGTTTTGACCAATTATGAATAGTTTCGACACAAAAAATTCTTGAACTTGGAAAATCTCGATTTTTCACACCCTATATTTCAGTAATCATAACTGCTAGACCCCAAGTATGATGGGTCGTTGAAATCAGCTCATCAGGGAGAATCTCAAAATGAAATTATATATAGGGTGTTCGATAGGAAAAAGTTTAACTTCAGTGTTTTATGGTTTTTTGGGGACACCCTGTATGTTTCGAAATAATTTTAAATGGTAGCCTATGTTGACATGCAACTTCCTAGAGAAGAAGTATTCCAAGAAGATAAGTGGTTAGCCTTCTAGAGACCGAGGCGTTACTGGTGGCCCACCCTGTATACGTTTTTTAACAAACGTCAAAAAACTACAAGGTTCGCGCATTGATAACAAATTGCGAAGTGATACTTTTTTCAGTTTCCTACGTTAACATGATACCTTGCACAAAACAATGCGCGAAGTAAAACAGTGCGCGAAGTACCTACTTCACGCATTGTTATCTAAAATATATAGTAGAGTGCCAATCGAATCCTATCGTTCACCCCGTGGGAAATCGGAGGTAAAAAGCTGTCACATGGCTAGAATTGTTACCTACCATCTCCAGATCATGGATCCACTTGTCGTCAAAAAATCGTCCTGTGCGTTTGGGGGGTAGGGGGTAATTTATAAAAAAATATGGATTTTTTTTTATTCGTGGGAAATATTGATGGGTTCCAGAACTTCGACCCTGTCGAATCTTGATTTCGTGTGACAAGTAGAACAAATTATAGAAAATTTTGAAATTCACCAATTACATTACGATATATGAGAAAATCATATTTCAAACGGCTATAACTCGAAACTTGTAAATTTTCGTTAAATTGTTTTTCATATACCTCGCATTATCTCAGTAACTACAACGTTTATCAAAAAAATACTTCATATAATGTCGATGCGCCTATGTTTCAAGATGCGAATGGTTCTTCGATTTTGGAAATCGAAGCATAAATAAGGAAGATATTGGGAAAAGCATAATGCAATGCAGGTACCACGGACGAACGCGTTTCGCCGCATTCGTTCCCCTATTCTCCCCGCAATACCCGCGGCTATCATGGTTCCATACGCTTTTGTTATACACATCAACATTGAGGCGTTGACCATTGCATTTATAGGTGACTTATTGTGAATTAATCATTCGATATTTGGTACTGTGTGCTCTGTTTCAATAATTAAATAAGTATTGGTTATGAAAAGTACTATCAATTCAGACACTGATCTTGAATATGTCTTGAAGTTGAAGATTCCTTTCCAGCAGAGTACAGAATCATCGAGAAAATGTTTCATTTATGGAAAAGATGGTCAACTTCTTCGTTGTACAGAATTATCGATAAAAACATTCGAAAGTTCTATGAATATAAGAAAAAACCTCGGAAAAAACTATGCGAGGCAAATCGATGTGGAACTTCAGAGAATTGATGATATTTTCAATGAAAATAAAGGTCAATTGATCTTCTGGCGAAGGAATATTGGAAACTGGAGACAATAGTGTCAGGAATAAAACGCTTTCTATAGTGAAATTGATGTGAAAGATGTGAATCAGATGTAATCCTGCCAAAAGAAATAACACGTAAATTTTGTATTTTAGATGTGTCTAAATGTGTTTTCTACCAAAAACGTTCAAATAAGAGTCAAGTTTTGACATAGTATTGACTACCAACATTGTTTATTGCCATGGAAGTCAAGTATCATAGCCAATGCTCTCGCCACTGCTTTCTATCAAATTGGAAACATTATAGAGGATCACTGAGTGAGAATAAAGTTGTCAATACCACACATGACAGAGAATTTGATAATCTGATAAAATTAATAGATGGTGCAGATTTTCTAATGGAGATGGGTATACTTTCAACTGTTTATATCAAAAATATGTCGAACTTGGTGGCAAAACTGGTAGGAAAATCATTATCGAAGAATACTGTCTGTATATAGGTTAATCGAGGAGGTAAAACATTCATTTTACTTGATTTTTTTGGGATTTTCCCTCCTCGTTTCTTTGGAACATGAAAATGCATCTTCCAAAGAAAAATGTTTTGCATTTTTATGTTGAGAACCGGAGTAGATTCGTTCCCGAAACGTCCAAAGAAACGAGGAGAGAAAATCTCAAAAAATCGAGTAAAATGAATTTATCGAAGAAATCAGAAAGCACTACGACAAGGAGATAGAAATTATCAAATAAATCAAAACGTTGTAATGAGTCGTATATTGTGATTCCAAATGAAACAAAAACTCATCTGATTCATACACATATATGTATAGAACAAAGTGAAATTACAGAAGATAACTACCCTGACTTTGCATGCATCAGATATGACCCAGATACACATTTTTTTTACATATTTAGCAAGATATAAGAGTTATTCCAGATTATAAACGACTCAAAATTATGGATGTCAAGGCTTACGAATATGATAAAAAAAACTTTTTTTAAATTAGTTGCCTTATACCCGATAAAGTTGATTCAGTTATTGATTCAAAGGTGATGTTGAGTATCTGATGTCAAGGTATAATACTCGCTAATTCGAAATTCGAAGAACTCACACCAGAACACGTTGGTTTGAAAATGATGATTCATCAAGAGACATGATCGAAAAAAATTATCGAAGCTTTGTATTCTTGTGGACACTGTATCGTATAAAAATATTTACAACTTTGCAATTCGATTAGTATCAAATGATCTTTTTTTCAAGTTTCCACAAGGGTATCTTATCTTTATTTCAATATTATATGCATCATGTTTTGTTTCAATATTTCTCAATTTGTTAATAAATGAGATGGGTGACATTTTACTCTGATGGATAAAAAATGTACTTTCGAGATAGAATCATTCATAAAATAAATTGAGGTCACTTCCAATCAAACAGCAAGTTAAAAGAAATTTCTGTTAACTTGGAAAATAGCCATCGATTCCATTTTTCCCGTGAATTCCATGATCGTAATTCTGTAACACTCAGTAATTCATATTTACGGTGATCGTACTATGACGGCCGCGGGCGTTGCGGGGAGAATCGGGGTATGAAAACGGCGAACCGCGGTCCTTCGTACTACCTGCATTGGATTATGATTTTTCCAATATCTTCCTTATTTATGCTTCGATTTCCAAAATCGAAGAACCATTCGCATCATGAAACATAGGCGCATCGACATTATATGAAGTATTTTTTTGATAAACGTTGTAGTTACTGAGATAATGCGAGGTAAATGAAAAGCAATTTAACGAAAATTTACAAGTTTCGAGTTATAGCCGTTTGAAATATGATTTTCTCATATATCGTAATGTAATTGGAGAATTTCAAAATTTTCTATAATTTGTTCTACTTGTCACACGAAATCAAGATTCGACAGGGTGGAACTTCTGGAACCCATCAATATTTCCAACGAATAAAAAAAAAATCCATATTTTTTTATAATCTCCCCCCTACCCCCCAAACGCACAGGACGATTTTTTGACGACAAGTGGATCCATGATCTGGAGTTGGTAGGTAACAATTCTAGCCATGTCACAGCTTTTTACCTCCGATTTCCCACCAACTTTTGATCTAAGCGACTTACGATTCGTTTGGCACTCTACTAATATGAGATATTTATATTTCAACTTCATGGTCCTCAATCAAGTAAATATCCACGAAATCATTTATTTCTGAATGTTCAACAATAACTTTGTTTTATCTCTTGGAGCGCACGAAAGGAAATTCCTATTATGTTCGTGGAACATCGTGCGTACCTAGGGAGGATAGGGGGAGGCCTTTTAAGCAGGTTCAACACTATTTTTTATATGAAGCTATGCATATTTTTACTTTAGAACTATATTTTTTGACGTTTGTAGATGATTGTAGATGATTTCAGATGATTTGCCCCAAAATGTCACTGAGTTCAAATATTTTTCCTATCAGAGAGCCTAAAAGAAAAATTCACTAGCTTGTCAGGGACAATTTGTATTGAAAAAGGTTTGGAGAAGAGAAATATCTATAATCTATAATATAATAATATATAATATCTATAATCTTTGGACGTTTCGGGAACGAATCTGCTCCCGTTTTGAACATAAACAATGGACTTTTTGTATGGCAAATTCGTATTTGTCTTGACACTTCTCATACGTTCCAAAATATTTAGAAAAAATTATTTCATTGTGTTTTATGCTTATCGCTGATTATAAATTTTCAAGTTGTATTTCATGTATGTTGGTTGAATTTAAAAAAATATGTAAGATATTTCGAATGAAAAACCATTTATTGATAGCGATGAGTCCCAAGGTATATAGTTGGGAAAGTCGCCTCCAATAATTCGTTAGTGGAAAAGGGATTACCTTGAGCAAAACAAAAACAGAAACAAAATAACTAGTAGATTACAATGACATTTGAAATCCAAAAATGGACCTGCCAAGAGCGCTTGACAAACACCATGGAAACCCAAAACGTGTTCTCCCCAATTCACTACTATAACGTACTATAAAAAGAACATCTCCTTCACCATTAATTTCCTGGAAATTTCCCGGAGATTGGCAACACTGTTCATGACATACTATTATATCTCTTGGTGTTCGTAAACATCAGTGAGAGTGAGTAAGATATATGACCGGTCCTACGCTTCATGGAACCAAATTTGATCTCGTTAATGAATGAACTTTGATTTTTATGGCATCAGCAGTCTAGAGAGTAATTTAAAATTTAAGTCGGTGGTGAGAGCGATCGGAATGGCTATTTGTCTCTCTCTCTAGGAGCGCACAAAAGGAAATTCTTATAGAGGAATATATCTTAGAATAAGTTTCTTGGAACCATTTCTGAGGTCTTTGATGGTATTCAACCTATATGACATTTCGTTTTAGCTATGTTGAAGCCAGAAAACTGAGGGAATGTATAGAAGACAATATGCAGTCTAAAAACCATTTGGAGTTGCTGCAGCAATCAAAGAAGGCCTTCCAGGCTTTGAAGGAACTTATTAATACGTGAGTTTGAACTCGTCAGTATTTAAGATAACAACTAATAACTGAAGTTTACAGCAATGTGAATAAAAATCAGGATCAAGAAAGGTACAAAGCTGTTCCTCATCTCAGAAAATTCACTGCTCAAGAGGTATATATCAGTTGCTTGTCAATGGTTACAGAATCACTTACAACAAAGTATCCTGATGAAGTAAGACAATGGCTGGAATATCTGATAGAACATTTTCCCTCTTCTACTCGACTTGGCGATTGGTATTATCAATTAACCTGGTTATATATGAGGTGAGTGAATCATTTTTATATCAATATTCCATTGTTTCGAAACCCACTAAAGCATGATGGGAGGGCCCACTCTTCAATTGGTTTTTCAAAACATGTAGACCTCGATAAAAGGCTACAGTAAAGGTTCTCTTTCTCCAGTATGGAACATCATCAATCGGTGAAAATAATTCTGATTTCTATATCTGATAGTGACGGATAGTTGACGACTCCATTTCAGTTTATAAGTAAGTATATGATCACGATTTCGAATTAATGTTTATAAGTCCACTAAAATCTTACAAGATCCCTTCAGAAGTGGCGCCATCCGGGGTTCCTATGGCGAAGCTCAACTATGGTATTTCCCATGAAGAATTATTGCTGATGGAAATACCGATCATAGATATGGTGGACTTCGTCAGAACGTTGATTGATATATTACGCTTACGCTGGGAAGATGCCCAACCTTATGGGGCAAAACGAGGTCCAAAAAAATCTCACAACTAGATGGCGTACCATAGTTCGAAATCTCACATATTGGCGGCGATAGTGTCGAACGATGTCGGAGCAATACTTCGTAATTTGACTGGCAGGTGCGCCACTTACGAAGAGAATCTATTGGACTGCAGATGGCGTGCGACTTGGAACAATCAAACAATCCATAATCCAGAACGCTTGTATCGACTCCACGATCAATCAGTACGATTTTAACTAATATGGCGGTAAATTCGAATTTGTTAGTAATAGTTGTACTGGATGTGCTTCTAACGAGCGCATCACGGACGTGAGATCATGAAAAAAGTTTATAGAAATCGAATTGGAGTGAATCACAAAATTTATTGTCTCAACAAGTCAACAATAAATGCTTCCATTTTTGGCGATTGTGGAATAAACTGGTCAGCGGATATCAATATAAGCTGCTCATAAATTTGATTGAAATTCACGAACCCGGACCAGTGTTGTCAACTTAGTGTATTGCACCCTAGAACTGAATCTAAATGGGTCTGTTTGAGTGGTATTTCATATTTCATTATGTCGAATTACTAAATCAAACTATAATTAACTGTCGCAAATCATTTTCTTGTCAGAGCTATGTACAATTTTTGAAATTTTTATTATTGAAATTACTGATATTTATCACATGAAAAACGCGGAACATTGCGTGACAATTCAATACCGCTATCAATCCAAAGTATTTTATACTGGTATATTATCCGACCTATGTATTGCCGAAACTTGGAGTGCCAATAATTTCCTTTGACTTTTGTGGGGCGGCCGACTCGGTGCGTTTGTCGGCGATAGGGCTGCCAAAGCCGTCGTTTGTCGCCATAACAACACAAGTACATCCTAGGGACTTACCAGGGACGTCCCTAATTTCATACAAGGACATCCCAGAGATATCCTTTGTCGGGACAGAGTACATACTAGGAACGTCCCAGGGACATCAGCTGGCTGACAAAAAAGCATCCAAGGGATTTCCGTCTGGTACGTCCCTGGGATATGAACCAAGAACGAAGAAAGGATATCCCTAGGAGGTCGCAAGGATATTCCAGGGATATCCCTTCGACAAAAGAAAAAAAAAGTAGGTCGAGTAGGGTTTGAACCCGGGACCTTTAGCTTTTCAGGCACGCACCTTACTCCATTGGCTGATATGCCTTCTGAAGATTTATGTGCCAAACAGATTTTTAAACAGGACTAAACTGCAGAAACCTGAATAAATACAACTTTGTTAGGATTTGGGTATAATTATTATTATCATTCGTGGATGTTTAAAAATGAGGGGCATTATGCATTTACGATTTCTGTTTGCGAAAAATGGTCATTTCTTGATAAGTTCTAAGACAATTTTTTCCATTTTCATTACAATTATTTACCGGAAAAAAACCAAACATTTTCATAAAAATGCAACTCATAATATTTTGATGAAATTCAATGACTCTGATGTGAATAGATATCAGATATTCCAGGCACACGAATAGGATAACCTATGGATGTACCGGGCCGGATGTCCACTGGACAACCACTGCGGGACATCCCCTGGATACCCCAATTATGTCCTTGTACCGTGTGACAAAAAGGGTACGTACCTAGAACATCCCTGTGTTGTTAGGGTGGAGATTCTGAGCGTTCCGTAGTCTGTACTCCGTTGTTCTGGAGCGGCAAAATCGATGCTACTCAGAAAAAGTTACTGGTATCAGAAAATATCAACGCCGATTTCATGATTATATATCGTGGCATATATAGACTGGAAATGTAGCTGTTATTTCTGTCGAATTTGTTTTTATCTCTTCAAATATACCAAAAAAGAATTCATATTTTTCAACAACTAGATACTGTAAAAAATGTTTCATAAGCTTGCAGCTTCAACTCTTGTAATCCAATGAATGGATGAATTCTATATATGTCCCAATAGTTATGACTCACTCTGTATATTATGCCTATTATAGATGATGTATTTTATTTCATTTTTATAGTGAACCATTAACAATCAAAGATTCAAAGATATCTGACTATTTATTTTCTATCTACTGATGAGACTCTAAGAAATTATCACATTCAGATTGATTATATTATCAATATTTTGTAATGTATTAATACAAAACTTCAATATGGATACAAATTGAGTGAAAAAAATATTCAACAAAAAGGCGTGAGATGTTTTTCCAGATATACATATATATTGGTCTAGGCAAAGTATGACAAGTTATTCAGAAGGGAATTTAAAAAAACGCCACGGAGTAGGAACCCAACTGAGTGAGAGATCATAATATGTTCTTCTCTCTTCCGCAAGGAACCGAGGGAAAAATCGATACTCGCAACCCGTTGTTATTGTTGCGGATTGCGGTTTCTTCATATACGTCCATGGGATTCACCGACCGTAGCAAACATTTTTTTATCGGAACCGGTCGGGCGGGTCTCATCGTAGAAGACAAGGATAAACAAACATTTCTGGAGCAATAGCACGTGGTGGGATGGGATCTGTAATTCTGTACAAAATTGTAGTGATCTGTACAAATAGTTCAGACATGTTCTGTGTGCCTAGTGGAGTCGCTACCTCACAGTGGCAAAACGATAGACGAGGGGATGAGCGGGGCATCGACTCGCAAATAACACAGGTTGGGCATCTTCCCAGCGTAAGCGTAATATATCAATCAACGGTCAGAATGGTGATACCAGAAATATCTCATATCAGGCATACTGAGTTCTATCTTTCTAGAGAAAACACAGGCTTCAGTTTTGGTGGCGTTGAATTCAAGAAACTCGTCCGCCATATTGTATCCGCCATCTTTATTTTCCCAATTTTCACGAAAGAATCATAATCTGCGACCCCAAAACCCGCAGATACCAATTTTGAATATACCTAATCGAATCATAATTACAAAACTCGTTTGCTATATTGGATCCGCCATCTTGAATTTTCAATTAAAAAATAGCTTACGACCGATTTTCATACCCTACCGAATACGCACAAATTTTTCATACGAATCGGTCAAGCCGTTTCAGAGGAGTTTGGCGACAAACACCGTGACAGGGACAGGAGAATAAATAACATTGTTATGGTTGCTTATTTGGGTTGAGACGCATACCTAATTTGTTTCCGATTTCGACAGATTTGGCAATTCATATCCTTGCTGGAGATATAAATACACCTTAGTACAGTCTTTTAGTATTCACACTAGTGTATATAATCAAGGGTGTAGTTGAGTTTTTTGTTTTGATCAGGAAAGCCTTCAAGATTCACATACTTGCTTGATATGTATTTCATTCGTTATTCTCGGGATGGATAACTTGTTTTTGAATAATCACGGGCAGCAATAGTTTTTTGTCTCAAACAACGATATTGTTTACCTACATTCGATTACCAAGCCAAACACAGTTGAGTATGAGTAACCTAACATTTTACACATCTTGTTCCTATACCTGGCACTGGCGCGGTATTTGCCATTAGAGCATTTGGTCCATACACAAATATGTCACTCTGTAGTTGTATTTATATTGAAGCTACAATTCGAACATCATTGAAAATTGAATGAACCTGCTGTTAATGCAGGTAGAATATTCACACCACACGGATTATATGTTGCATTGCATACATATAGCACGGCATTGCATGTTTTGCTTTCGCTCGGCTTGGCTAAACGCTCCGCCTCGCAAATGCAATTCGGTTGTCAAAACAATCTACTCAGCAGGGAGATTCTATTTCACGAATCGAGTCGAATCGGCCATCTTTCTTCGATATTTGGTATTCTGTTTCTCGAATGAATCGTGTTAACTCGATACGACTACTCGATAGCTCAAGAGGAGTCGAGTTGATGCGTTTAGACAATCTATCCTTATCTTTCATCATATCGTTTCTTTCCATCTGAAAATTTCAGGTTAGGATATCTTTGCTTCTTGAATATTATTTTTTTATTCATTATTATACTTTGGTTTCCAAAGTTATACCCTTTCTATTCGATCTCTCAACTAGATGAGGCCTCAATGACTCTATCAAATGACGAACTAACCTTTTGTTCAACCTGAATAACTCTATGAACCTATTTTCTGGAAGAGCAAAAGGATTACTGATGTTTCGCAGGTGTTGTCTTCGGCGAATTAAATTTAAATTTAATAGACGATTTTCAGCTTCTACCATACGGTCTCGGATAATAGGTAACATAACTGTTTGATTGTGAAAAAACTCAAAAAAATGTAATATTTATTGATAAAATTAATAACATTAAAATAGTTCAGTGTTGTCAATACAGTCAATTGTCATTTCATTGAATCAAAATTTCATCCCATTTCACCAAAAATGTACAGAAAGTCGACGATTTCCGAAGTTATATTCGATCACGATTTGGTCGTGGAATTGAATCGGAAATAAATTCGATGTCGAGTTTATCATCGTATCGTACGATAATCGACGATCGTGAAATAGAATCTCCCTGCAGTTTGACAGTAATTGCTGCCAACAAATTGTACAACACTTGGTACAAAATATTTGATATTTTCCACGTGAAATGTGGCTAATTGTACTCCATAAATCTTCTAAAAACTCAGTATGGATGGAATATGACTTAAATATGTCAAAGAAAGAATGATTGAAATAAGTATTATGGATAATGTCACGATATAATAGATGGTTAATCCATCCATATCGATTTTACTATATATTTTTTACTATATTTAATCATAACAATATTTATTAAAGTATGAAACATTATGAGTAGTGATGAAATATGAAAGGAAAACAATGGATATAGAGACCCAATAACAACTTACATTATAATTACCATTACGACGAGTTCTTGTCAACTCAAGAGTAGCCCCAGACCAGACTAACTTCGGAACCCTCACATCCAATATTTATATACATCATTTTATTAGACTTGCACGTTTCTCATGAGAGTTCCTTGGTCAGTTTTCAAAGTTTAATGTCAACGGATGATGGTTCGAAATTACTAATATACCGTATGTTCTACTTGTTACAATATTGTGTATTACTTTTATTTGGACAACCTAGGTCTCTACTTTTTTGCATGCCGCAAAGAAAAAAATTGTTCCTGCACTCTGGTCAAAAATAGCCTACTTCAAAAGTCATCATGTGACAGATTTTTAACGTAAGTATTGCAAGAAATTTGTTCCAGGTATTTGCAACCAAATGATAACGAGCATGCAGCAAAACTGATAATAGAAGTTTTACGATCTGATCGTGACAACTTGTCTGATGTGCAGTTGCAACAAATAGGAAGAAGGAGTGAAAAGTTGAAAGCATCAAGGAAAAGTAAAATTAAACAACTCGACCATGATACTATTGCTGAGTTGGTGCCAGAAACTATCAAGCTGGAAACTTTCCCTGCTACCACTGTGGATGCAACAGCTATAAGGAGGTAAGTTTTGTCTATTGTAACCTCAAAATATTGCCAATAGTGCAATTATTTATGTGTGATAAATCATTTTTATACGTGAATTCCTGTTATCAGTTGTACAAGTCATCTAATCAAAGAAAATGACAAACAGTAAGTATTTAATTGTTCTAGTATCATCATTCTATTGATTTTATTTATGGTGCCAACCAGGCGCCATATTGATTCTTACCTGAGTTGGATTGCCTAGTAGTCAACTAGCTTTGGTAATTTCATTTAATAGGTCGCGTGCACGATGACCAACCCTGGAGGTAAAATATCGAAACACAACCTCACTCTTCTGTGAAACATTGAAACACAACTCAACTTTTTCCATTTGTTTACAGAGGAATCAAAGGATTGAAATAGTTTTCCACAATATTTTGGCATACCAATCGTGTTTTTTGCGCTATTCATCAATTCAAGCATGCCTTTGCATTGTGCTGTTGTACAATGCACAAAAAATGCAGCGAGAGACGAAGGAATATGATTTTTCAGGTAAATAGTAATCTCAAATAGTTCTCTTCATGAAATTTTGTAATTTCTTATTAAAATTCCATCTGCCACTTCTGCAATAGAAGCTAATACTGCTAAAAGATTGAAAATGTCTACAACACAACATGATTATATTTCGTCAGCATGTCAGACCAGTCCTCCCGTGTGATTGCGTGAATCCAATCTTCTTGCATTATTTAAGAAATTTCACGAGTATTTCTATTAGTTCCTATTGCAGAAGGAATTCCGATGAGAAATCAAAAAAATTACCAAATTCCAAAAATGAAAACTATATGTGAGTGACTATAGTAGGTACTTACTTTTAAATCATAATGTACAGGATTCCTTCGTCTCCAGCTGCGTGGTACAACAGCACAATGTGATGGCATGGGCGATTTAATGTATAGTGGAAAAACACGATTCCTATGCCAAAATAATTGTGAAAAACTATCCCACTTGTAAACAAATAAGAAAAGTGAGGTTGTGTTTCAATGTTTCACCTCCAAAGTCGGTCATCTGACAGTTCTTGCACTCAACCTATAGCAGTTCATCATTCTAGCCAATCATTCTGTGTTATCCTGATAAAATCCAATGAATGGAGGTGAGCCGATTGTCAGCAGATGCCCTCAGTTTGCTATTATCCTCATCGTATAAGCCGGTATTTACTCGAAAATCTTTCATGTTATCGCCATCTAGTGGCTCAGTTCGAAAGTAGGGCTCTTACGTAACCGCACACTACACGTAGATCGTTGTAACTTTTAGGTTTATCATCAATTGATCCATCCTCATTCGTAGTTTTGTAAGTTTTATTTATTAACCCCAGTAGAACCATAAAATACAACATTCTATTCTTATCTTATAAGTCATCATTCGATTGAATTATACATCACTGTGTCCTCTAAGCACAGACACAGAACAACAACCTAAAGACATAGACTTATGACTAATGACAAACTGACTTCTCATCAGTATTGCCAACTTATTCCAATAATAATATGTAAGGATTTTAGGGTATATCAATGATGGCAGTAAGATATGGTGCGCGTATTCGGCCATTATTACGTATTGAAAATTTAAGAAAAATCACTCGACCGCCTACTATGATTTCTCTACGTCACAACGAACGAGACGTTGATTCTACATTTTCCCGCTAGATGGTGATGCTGCTATTGCTGCTGTGACGAGTGGAAATAAAATGGCAAATGGCATTTTAGGTACCCGGAACATAATTATGTAACAGTGGGATTATTCAACTCTGAATTCGAAAAATCTGCGACAATTTCAAAACTGACAGATGTCACAATTGTGCAATGTCGCCATTTAGAAGATCGAAGGAACCATTGCTCTCGCTGTTCTCGAGAGGTCGAGTAAAATTTCTGAAACAAAAGCGCATCAGCAATTACACCATATCTCACTTCCATCATTGGTATATCTAACAGTAACGATAGAAATCAAGAGACCTAGAAGGCCAAAATATTCGAGTGTTCCCTAACGTGGCTCGAAAGACAAATATGAGCATGCGCAGTAGACACACAACGATGCCAGTGGCGGCTTCATAATAAATAACTATTTTATAGTTGAGTAATTATTATTATCATCAATATTGACATTAAAATTTCACCTTTTTCAATTCTAGTACTGATAAAGGTCGAAAAAGAAACTACGTTGTGCATGACACCGATGGGAACAAAAGATATATGTCTGTGGAAAACATCGCATTAGAATACTACATTGAAAAATGTGGTTATTCAGATGGGACACATTGTGAAGGATCTCTAATAAAAGCTACGTTCACCCTCTTCTTTTGGGACATAATCTACAACCCCGACAAAGTTGTCCCGGGTACTTTTCTATCAAAAATCCAAAATGTTCCACTCGATATGTATTCAACCCATTTTTACGGAAACAGAAAACATGCCATTGATAGGCGGCTCAAAGAAATCGAATCTGATTGGCCGGATGAAGAATTGTTGCGATTCGTGAAAAGAAGCTGGGAGTTGCATTCTCATGAGCATGGTTACTGTGAACCCGGCCTAATTATAAAGAATTCAGAGTTTTTGGACATTTTGGTGAATTGTATCGGGAGGAAAATTCTTGCGAAGATTTATGAACGCTTGGTGAAAAATTTGCGGCTGTACAGCAGCGGTTTACCCGATTTATTGGTTTGGAATATTGATAATAAAAAGGTTTGTATTCATTCCATTTCTCATTTTTGATAGTTTGTCATACTCATAAGTTATATCACATTGTTCTGAATATTCCAGATAATTCTGTTGGATCATTATTTTCGAAATTGTGTTGTCGAGCAACACCACGAGTTCGTCAGGACGAGTGGTATTACTGGTATTGCTGTGAGTTAACAATGAAAGACAGAATTATGAGAAGATATTCAGAGCAGGGTGGTATTTTGCTAGACTATTTCACGTTCTTGAAGCAGCATTCATTATAAATACGAGTGATTAATTCTGACAAGGACAGCCTTGATTATTTTATGCCAAACTGGCAGACTTTGCTTTGCTATTAATGGTTACATCCAGACTTTGATTTGCTATCCATGGCTACATCGTTGAAAACATGAACGCTGTCAGACCAATCAGAATTGAAAGACTTGTGATTGGTCAGATTATGTGATCAGTGAAATACTACCGGAATTTGGGCACTCAGCTAATTTTATATAAAACCCCTTTTTTTGAACAGTACCAGAAATGTGAAGGGTGAAGTGAATAAAAATCAAACCTGGCATCACCAAATATTACCGTATTTAATTGACATGAATTATCAAATTAGAATGAACTGGAAAAATAATAAGATTCAATTTTGTGCAGTTTCAAACTATAAAAATACTAAAGAATAATAATTATTGACTTTAGGTATTCAAATATAATTCGAATGACAGATATAGCTGGCCGGTGTGGAATAGGGCTGCGCGATATTGGATTTCAGTTATCGGTTATCAATAAGTTGAAATTTATCGATAAGTTCGATATATCGATATTTATCGATATATCGATATTTATCGATACTTATCGATATATCGATACTTATCGATATTTATCGATATATCGATTAATCGGACTTATCGATATTTATCGATATATCGGACTTATCGATATATGTAGTTCAAAAAATATCTTGCAATCATATAGACTTATTGACATATACCTACTCATTGTATAAGGTGGTTTCGATGTGTTTCGACCTATTTTTAGCCATCATCAATGTGTTTTCGAAATTCTAAAGGAAAAATGCCATCAGTTCCACTTGTTTCTGATCATTCAGTGTCAAACATTGAGGGACTATACACAATACCGAAAAGTGGAAAAAAATATTTCATCATATTATTCAATGCAGCGCTTCAAACTAATTATGAATTCTTACACGAATTACTTCAATAACTTAATTTTGGTAATACCAACAGAAACATTCATAACAATTGTTCAAAATGATGACCATTATTCTCTAAATCTCTCTTCTCACACTTGCTTCGATATATCGATTTATCGAGATATATCGATATTTATCGATATTTATCGATATTTATCGATATATCGATATTTATCGATTTATCGATATATCGATATTTAAAAACTTGAATATCGTTATTCGATATATCGATATATTTATCGATATATCGATATTTTTTCCCAGCCCTAGTGTGGAATATCGGTTCAGCAGGCAATATTTGCTAAGTAGGTATCCGAACCTATAATTATATACAGGGTATGTCACGACGAGCTTACACTATCTCTATATCGAAAATCAGTCGGGAGAAATCCATGAAAATATGCATGCTTAAAATACGCTCTTTTCATTCAAAATATTTTCAGAAATGCAGTGTTGCCGCTTCTATCAAAAAGTAGCAACAACTTTTTTATTTCAAATAGAATACTCTGTACTCTCTACTTGGGGTCTATCGGAAATGATTACAGAGATATAGGGTGTTGAAAATCGAGATTTTTCAACTTTAGGATTTGTTGGTGTCAAAACTACTTATAATCGGCCAAAACGGCTCACATGTCCCTATCTCAACTTTTGATTAACTGTTTACTGATAATTAATCGGAACAGATTCAGGGTGATCAGAATTCTGAATCTTGAACCACCCTGTATCTGTTCCTACAGAATATCACTAAATAGTGAATTAAAAGTTGAGATTAGGACATGTGAGCCGTTTTCACCGATAATGAATAGTTTCGACACAAAAAAATCATAAAGTTGAAAAATCTCGATTTTGAACACCATATATCTCTGTAATATTTTCCGATAGACCCCAAGTATGATACATCGATGAAATCAGCTCTCCAGGGAAAATCTAAAAATGCGATAAAATACAGGGTGTTCTATTTGAAATATCAATGTTGCTACTACTTTCTAGTAGAAGCGGCAACACTGCATTGTCGAAAATATTTTAAATGAAGAGAGGGTATGAATAACCATCAATATGATCAGTTTTACAGAGATGCACATTATTTTGGACAGTGCCGTGCGTTTTTATTGAACTTAAAAGGGGTCGATTTTTCATAAGATCACATTAGGCATTTTTTTACAGGGAATCTGACCTCATATTATTGTTCCTCAGGCTTTCGAACCTCCATAGGCAAAAAATCACCTAATTCTGAATTATTAGGATTGGCTCCCTTTTTTACATTTTCAGTCTCGAATAAATAGTGACTTCAAATCAAATACGAATTTTGGAACGTTCAATGGCTCCGGTAGGTGGAATAATAATATCATGATTTGGAAGAGAAAACGAGTTATACTTTTTTATGTTGAACTCACCCCTAGCGAGCACAATAACATCCCTGGGATGTTTTGAAAATGTTGGCATGAAGATGTTATTTTGAGACGTAATATGCACTGACCAAAGAGGTCTTTGAAGGATATTGAAGTATTGTTTTTGTTCTTCTGTGGCATTTCTTTGTTTGCCTACTGAGAGGTATCCCTGGGATGTTTTGGGACGTTTTAGAAATGTAGGCATGAGGATGTTTTTTTGAGGCGTAATATGCACTTCCCAAAGAGGTCTTAGAAGGATATTGAAAGTATTGTTTTTGTTCTTTTGTGCCCTTTCTTTGTTTGCCCCACCACAACGTCTCATGCTTACGTCACAATACGATGAATTCTGATTTGTTTTCGATTTTGTTTTCCTTGTTCGCAATTGGCATTCGCGTTTGCAGCGTCTCACGCTTACATCACGCTGCTAACGAACAGAAAGGAATTTGGTGAAGTTTATTGTGCTAGAAGACTTATTTAGTTTGTAATAATGACCATCAGATGTAAGATGTGTTGTTCGGTGCCTCAGTGTAATCAATATATAAAAGTACGAATTTATAAATACACAGCTCCTCCGCAGTTGCAAAATTATGCATTGTGGAGAACATTTAAAAAATTGGGAAACCTATTTCCAATTATATGTCTGTGTGTAGTAAGCACTACTCAGAAACCGATTAAGAAGGTAATTTCATATCAAGAAAATATTTTTATGTTCAATCTATTTTTAATGCATTTTTTCATTTCGACAAAAGGCTTCAGAAATGTACCTCGAACATGTTTTTTTTTACAGCGATTTAATGTGCGCAAGACGCGTTGAAAATATTTTGTTGTGTCCATGAAAAGGCTTTAAAAAACTAGGGAGAAGGTAGTTTTGTGACATATCAAGGACATCTCGATAATTGCCGCCTGCGGCGGACATTGGCTGTTCTATAATAGTTCTATTCATGTGTGAACAGAACATCGCAGTGGAGGTTCAATGTCTCGAAATCTCGTACTTTTAACATCTCTGAGATGTTTTTGTGCTCGCTGGGGGCCGTTTCCGAGTAAATAATTATTTTGTTCGCAAAAATACTGTTTAGATGTGCCTGTTTTTCTGAAACCCTTTATAGGAATCTTATGAAAATCCACATATGTGGGTTTGAAACCATGAAAAACAATATTATGAGGTCAGTTTTCCTGTGAAAAACTGCCTAATATGAATTTTAAACTGACTCCTATTCATTTCCATAAAAATGCACGGCACTGTCTAAAATGATGTTTGTCTCTGAAGAACTGGTCATACCGATACAAATTTGGTAAAGATCGCACGACTGATAGCTGAGATATAGAGGGGGGGAGGGGCGTTTGAAATGAGACACGCTGTATATGAAAATTGTATTTGTTTTTTCAGAGCAAATTTGTTGAGGTGAAAGGTGAAAACGACAAACTATCTATCAAACAGACATTATGGCTGAACTATTTAATTTCCATTGGTGCCAATACTGAAGTATGCCATGTTCATTGTAAGGCAATGATAAAGAACTTGAATTTTCCTACAATAATTAATCAATATTTTCAGCTATGGGTTCGAAAAGAATGAAATTGAAGAGTTCAGAAGAAAATGGGAAGCAAGCAAAACTCAGTGAAAAAGAAGTGGAAGGTGAAGAAAACAAAGGCGATAATGAGAAAAGAAAATCACCTAGAAAGAAACCAAAACTCAGTGAAAAGAAAGTGAAAGTTGAAGAAAACAAAGTCGATAATGAGGAAAGAAAATTAGCTAAAAAGAAAGAAAGAAAAGCAAAAGTGGGTAATGGGAAAAGGAAACAGAAAGAGAAGAACGAAAAACTCGATGATCAGTCCCAAAAGTCGGATGTTTCAGAATTTTGTGAAACTGTTTTGGAATGTCATTTAGATGAAAGAGCCTCTACTTCATCCAGTGAGACAAAGAAAGAAAACGCTAAGATGAATAAGAAAACACAAAATAAAAGTACTTCAGCTTGCAGCTCAAACGCCAGTCACCTTGATGAGGTTTCAGGTATTATTCATGAGAATTCTGATTCAGTGCCAGACTAGTAAATTTTAGATTAGGCACTGGAAAAATGATAACGTGCCTTGATGACTTCTATTGAGTCATCGTATTCTGTGATGTAAGTGTAGATAGGCTTTTCAAGATTGTTTTGTCTATAGATTTCAGTACATGCATGGGAATTTTGGAACCCATTCCTAAAATCACATATAAGTTTGAATTGGGTGGAATTAATAAAATTATGTGATCAAAAAATTACGGTGAGAAAGTTACACAATGATGCGAAATTCATTATCATTCATTTCATACTATTTGATTTCCAATCAGAATATTAAAGTATTGTATCGACTCGGCCGTTACATGATGGAAATTCATAACAAAGATTCCATAGTGAATGTAAAAAACTTCACAAACGATTAGATTTCAACAAGATTCTTGATGATACATGTTTTGCTAACACAGTAGATGCTTCAACTAAATTACTTGTACCGGGTGTACCACTAAGAAAGGACGCCGGCTGTATCTCGGAAACTATTTGCCGCACAGGTTTCGAAAAAAAATCTCTGGAATTATTTTCAAGTTTCCAGGACAGCCGCTAGAGGGTATAATTGCATTGACCAATTTAAAAAACGGGTTTTTATGAAAATGTGATATATCAAGACATAGTAGAAACACTTTTTCCATGTTCTCGAGTAGATTTTCAATCATTTCGATCCAAAAAAATTGCGCTAGCTCTTTAAATAAAAGAGGGAGGGAAGGATGAATAGTACTCTGGAAAAACTTTTATTACTACAGTTTGGTGTAACGGAATTAAGCGATCTTGGTCTCATTATGAAGGGTTTTTTCAGATCTTCCCGATAAATCACGAATCAAGCCGATTTAAATCCCGTGGTGGCCGCTAAATGGCATCGTTTGAAAAATCAGCCGAGTTGCCATCTTTTTTCGATAATTTCAAATGGAACCATATATTTTTCCTGCTATGATATGAAAGTTAAGTAAACGAGAAGAAAAAGGGTGAAAACCGCGAGTTGATACCTCTTGAAGAACCGACAGACTGGACATCAACTCATTTATTTTAAATAAAAAGCTTAATTTTTTTATTGCTTTTCTGGATTCCTTTTGAGTCTACCTGTCCTTGAAATATGCAACTTTTTTGATAATATATGTTTTTTTTTTAGTTTGCTCATTCCTCTTCAGAAATCGATAACTGTCAATATATGGGAATAATGTACAATAGTCTGTATGAGACAAAAAAATATCTTTCTTTTGGTATATGCATGATTGGGCAAAAACAATTAGAAAATCTCTCAAATTTGGGAGTGTCCAAGTACCGATAACTAATATTTTCAAATGAAATGTCATTTTTTCTTTTGATTGAGCATACCCTATTCCTAGGTTTGTCTGAAAGTAATGATTATATTTTCTGGATACTAAAGAAGCTACTCTGTTTTGTGGAAGTCTTATCGTTTGTGAATACAATTTTAGAATAGTCAAATGAATTTCAGAATACGTTTTTCTAGAAGAAATTTGTTGCTCCAATTATTACTTCCTGAATTATAATTGACTGAACTATACATAACGATTTTTGAAATGTAGTTGAATATTCTGAAATTCTTTCTGAAATAGAAGTGGAAAAGGTTGAGGAAACGGCCAATACTTTTCTTTAATTTCCAAGGATACTCATGAAGCATACCATATTTATAATATTGTTGAAAATTAGTTGATTTACTAATTTATTTATTCGGATTATTTCAGTGTTAGCTCTTTCTATACCTGATTTATGAGTTGAATGTTTATTTTTTACTTCAATGGTTTTTTCCATCTTTATCTTGATTACCTGTTATTTCATATATCTATATTCCATATTTGACCTTGTATTTCACACCTTTATACAGAAATATATTGTTTTTTATGTCAATTCATGTGCTTCTTGTCATCAATATGAGTAGTTTGGACTGGATGGCATGAAGGATAGAATAGAATAAACTAGGGCTGTACGATATTGAAAACTTGATATCAAGATATCATAAAAGATATCGATATATCCGTACTAATCGATATTTTTTATATCGTTATTCTATATTTGTGCACAGCCCTAGTGTAAACACCGATTTGCTTCCATATAGTGAATTTTACTTTCGCCATAAATGAAGAAGACCTAACCTAGTATGCTAAATCAATCAAATAAAAGTTGAATATCTTTCAAGATTGGCTGCTTTTTTGATGCACAAATGGAAAACATGTTTATTAGACATTTTTCCTAAAATTCAGTTGTGTCCAGGAGATGCAGTTATTTTTAAAACAGACTGCAATATGTGAAGCTGATATGAGAAAAACTAGTAGAGTCTTCTCAATTTCATGTGGAGCAGTCTATTTTGAAAATAATAGTGACTCCTCATTGGATTTTGGGAAAAATTTACACGTTTTCCATTTGCTCATCAAAATTTCATGCTCAGAGATCATGTGATGAACGCCATAAACAAACCAGCACCAGGAAAAAATCATCTACGTTGGATTGAAAAAAAAAACGAACAAACAAATGAATAAACTACTTTATTGTTCTATGTTCAACAAAAAAGCATTTTCAATATTGAAGGTTGGAGAGCACACAATATTATAATCAATCTGTTATAAAATAATCGAGATTATACATAAAAATTACACCAATTCTATAATCTATGTTTCAAAATGTTTGTAAGAATAAAACTGTATATAATCAATTCATTTTTGATAATAAATTACATGGTCAAGTAAAATTCATATAATTCACCTCACTTTTATCATAATCTACATTCTAAAATCTAGATCCTTAATTAATTCCAATTGAAACATAAAAAACTAACACTACTAAGTTGATTACTATTTACCAATGGCAGCTTTTGAAAAAATGCCGAGTCAATAAACTCAGTAGAGTAGTGACTTTTCTAAAGAGAAAATTAGAGATATGAATTATTCAACAAATTACAGTACAACTGAGAATAATGGCCAAATATCACAAATTACTTCAAGCACTGGTAATCAGTACAGGTACAAAACTAAAGTGATCAAATATTGAAGTGTCAGTTCTATGAATATTTACAGTTTAAATAAATTCTGATCATCAAAAGCACACAATCTATTTGGAACAATTCGTCGGATGATAAATGTCATAAAAAGTGAAGTTATAATGAACCTGAACAATAAATGATATCATGAAAAAAAAGTTAGTTGGCCACTTATTATTTATTGACCATTAGGATCGAAACCGAGCTGAGAATTTTCCGATTAGAAAAGGCAGTTTTCTACATGAACGGTCCTCGTTTCGAGACGCCCCTGTTCCCGATAAAGTCCGGAGTGTATACAGAAAAGCTCTTTTCCAAATCATTCTAGTAAACACAACACAATGTGCGAGTAAAATACTAACTTGAAACGGAACGTTTCGACTCACACTGAATTGCAGAGACGCTCGTCTTGGCGCCACTGTGGTCTGTATCAGGACAGGTGTAGGGCTGCGCATAGCCCTGCTTGCTTGCTGGCTTGCTTGCATTTTTTCATCCCTTAACATGGCGAATTTCGAACTGACGTCGACCCACCCCATATTTACCGAGAAAACACAAACGATATGCTGAAGTTGAATGCCGCAACGAGGCGATTCCACAGCCCTTAGCAAAAGTTATACAGGGTGATCCCTGGAAACGTAACAAACCACAAATTGATTTTTTAAAAGGGAACACCCTGTTTTATGTGTATGTAAAATGTGATTTTTTGTATCACAAAAGTATACATACAGTGTGACCCATTCAAGATGGAAGCACCCTTATAAAACTTACATTTTTCAACCGATTGGAATGATTTTTTTTTGTTAGGTAGATATTCAAAAAGTCTTTTAGGACACCAAATATCATGAATAAATCTCCATTTCCAGGGCCAACTAATCTGATTTTTCAAGGTCAAAAATCTAAAAAAATTACTAGCGATTTTTTTAGAAAAAATCTGACTACACCACTGGGTTTGTGACATTTTCAAATGGGTAACATGTAAATTACGTTGAAATGCGTCAATCAATAAAAAAGTTATAAAAGAATGAAATTTGAAAAATATGCCGTTTAATCAACCCATCAATTTTTATTACTGAACAGATTTCGATGAAACTGGGATCAGTAATATTTCAAGACATCCTGAATCCAGTGGAGTATACAGAATTTTCATAAAATTCCTGAACATGAATTGGTGGGTTGATTAAACGGCATATTTTTCAAATTTCATTCCTTTATAACTTTTTTAATGATTGACGCATTTCAACGTAATTTACATGTTACCCATTTGAAAATGTCACAAATCCAGTGGTGTAGTCAGATTTTTTCTAAAAAAATCGCTAGTAATTTTTTTAGATTTTTGACCTTGAAAAATCAGATTAGTTGGCCCTGGAAATGGAGATTTATTCATGATATTTGGTGTCCTAATAGACTTTTTGAATATCTACCTAACAAAAAAAAAATCATTCCAATCGGTTGAAAAATGTAAGTTTTATAAGGGTGCTTCCATCCTAAATGGGTCACACTGTATATATTCAGAGAAAAACTATTTTATTTGATGGGTGATAACTCCCTCAATCAGTTTGGGAATGTATTCGATAGTTATGCAATATACAAGTGTCAAATATATGCTCATTCTTGGATAACTCGATATATGTACAAGTCAACACAAAAAATGGTTTTCTGGGATCAAAAAAGTGGAGATGATGAAGTGAAAATATTTCAATCATAGAATCCCGAACTCAAAATATGAAAATTTAACCCAAGTCACTTAGATAAAATATGTCTCCTGTCTGAGTTACAGGGTGTTTTATTAAAAAATGTTGAAAAGTTCTTCAAAACTATTTGACGTATCACTTTCATATTTGGAGGGAAGTGTAGGTATTATACACCCAACTGAATTATGTGAAATGAACTTTTCTAGCTATTACCAGAGGCGTACGACAGGGGCAATTAACTGGTTGATCCCTCCCAAATCCTACGCCACTGGCGGAATTGCAATTCTATCACAAATTCTCGAGTCTCCAACAATTTTGACGTAGATATTGTACTCTTTTTCCATGGCGATGAAGTCATTATTTTTCGAGATAGTTCAAGTTAAACATAAATCTGCATCATTTTGATTTCAATGTGCATTAATTTTGTCAATATTTTGGATCAATGGATTGTATTCATCAATGAAATGAAACTTCAATTCATATTAACAATAAAAACATAATTACATTACAGACAGGAGCTGTTACAGGGTGTTTAATTATGTAATATATTGAAAAATTTAAAACGCCCTGTAACAGCTCCCGTCCGTTATGTTTTTATGTTAATATGGATTGAAGTTCCATTTGATAAATGAATGCAATCAATTGATCCACAACATCGACATTTTTGATACACATTAAAATCAAAATAATTGTGCTGCTTCATGTTTAACTTGAAATATCTGGAAAAATAATGACTCTATCGCTATGAAGAAAGAGTACAATATTCACGAAGAAGGTATTGAAGAATCGAAAAATTCTGATAAAATTGCAATTCTGCCAGTGGCGTTGAATTTGGGAAGGATAAACCAGTCACTTGCCCCTATCGTACGCCTCTGGTAATAGCTAGAAAATTCCAAATATGAAAGTGATACGTCAAATAGTTTTGAAGAACTGGGCAAAAAACATTTCGAAATTTTTGAATAAAACACTGTAACTCAGACAGGAGACATATTTTATCCAAGTGATTCAGGTTAAATCTTGATATTTTGAGTTCGGGATTCTATGGTTGAAATATTTCCAATTAGTAATGAAACACCCTATATATACTTTTGTGATCACAAAAAATCAGATTCCGATAAAAAACAGGGTGTTCAATTTAAAAAAAATCAATTTGTGGTTTTTAACGCTTTTAGGGATCACCCTACAAAACTTCTGATAAAGGCTGTGGAATGGTCTCATTGCGGCATTTAACTTCCGCATATCGTTTGGTTTTTCTCGATAAAAAATAAGGTGAATATAGGGGTGGGCATTCTTGATGTATAACCCTGTACAGTAGGACTATTAGTTTAAAATCCCTCTCTGACTTCTATCTCGATCATTTTTTGAGTAGATTGAAGATTCAATGACTGAATCACTTGAGATTCGAGATCTGGGAATTGCGAAATATAAATGGGGTGGACTAAAAAAATGCCTCGCCTGCGAATAATTCAAGAGGAAACTTTTTCAGTGAATACGTCATTATTGTGTAATCAATTCTATCACCAACAGCGCATCCTACTTCAGTCTCTCGTATATATCTGATGAAAGATGATAGATAAGTTCAGCCAACGTTGAAATGTTCTACTTATCAATATCTTCTAACTTTTTGTGTTACCGAACTTGAAATACTCATTATTTTACGTTAGAACTCAGATGACAAGCTGAAATTCTCTATTCAATCATGTATACACCAATATATTTGTGATTGCATCTTCATCTAAATGATATATCACAACTATGGTGATATCTTGAAGATTCCTCAAGATATTCCACAAGAATACAAATCGATGAGCCTGAATAATTTTCAATCCTCCTTTGGATTTCAAAGATAATACAAGATACAGATGATCTTAACAATGTAAAGGATCGTTTGTCTTTGTGAAAATATCTGGCATACTTGATGTTCTTAACAACATTTAGTTTTTGTTCCTTTGCTTCAATTTCTCTTCAAAGATATTTATAGTGAAATAATACTAAGACTTTCATTCATAGAAATCCCATAAATTTAGAACATTACAGGATATCCCTTTTCGTGGGAACCAGAACATACACAAAATATATAATTAACATTCCGTATTCCAGTATGTGATTCTTAGTCACTGAATTTTCGATTTAATCAAAAATAGCTAGAGATCCAATTGCCAGTGTGAAATTTGAAACGATCAGTAAGACAAATTCAAAATACTGGACGCTCTTCTTTAAAAAGCATTACACATCGACAGCCATAATCTGGCATTTTGTTACCAGAAAACATACCAAAGAACAAGTGTGGACATATTGATATCAGTAAATAACGGTAACATCTGTTGCGTTTTCAATTTGTGTCGCTCACTCAATGACTCAAACATATTATTCGAAAGATCCTCACTTGAATGTTCTTCACAGGAAATGTACCACCATATAATTCATTTTATAGCAAGTTCCACATCAAAAGAAAATATGATGGCTGTACATAGTTGTACACTTGTCATATTCACACTATTGATAGAACAGTATTAGTTTTTTTTCAAACTTCAACTTATCTTGAGTGATTCTGATTTCAAAATTTCAAAATTGATCACAGCTAGAAACCATTTCCACATTTCCCTAGTTTGTCTAATTAGAAATATTCGGACGTAGTTCCATATTTAAATTGGGCAGGGAGAATAACGTGATGTCACATTTCAAGTGTCAAACACTCAAATCGGCTGTAGAACTTTTCGTATTCTCTATGCGCTCAGCCTCGTTAAGAGATGAAAAATCGCATCCTGCTCAAGGTTCAGAGTGCCAATCACAGAGACATTGTTCTAAATTCTAATTCGCTAAGTTACTGGGGTACCGACGGGGGGGAAGGGGAGGGGGCAAACAACAAGGGAAAATTAGGAGGAAGGAATGGCAACGGGGCAGGCATGTCATTGCAGCCTCAAGGTCTTGGGCTGTTCCCAGGTGAAACCGTCGCGGCCGAAATGGCCGTAGGTGCTCGTTTGCTGGTAGATCGGCTGTCTGAGGTTGAGTTCCCTGAAAATACGGAGATGCATTATTCACTTCAGTAATTAAATTCAATACCCGACTTCCACCCAATGGTCATCAATCAATCAAGCAATATGTTGCCGAGGTAGCAACCGGGTGGGACCAAATCCCACCCCCCTCTCACAAGACTCCCATAGGGGATGACTGCCGGTCACCTATCTTTCGACTTATACCGACAGCACTCCTGGGAGAAATGGATGATTTGGATACGCCAAATCAGCGCGCTAGGGCATGTTAGGTATGTAGGAAACCGCTGCCCCTGGAGTCCAACCCAACTGGTGAGGCATTAGGCCGTATGTACGACCTGATGGGGCTATCGTCATCACCCCATGTACCCATGTGAACAAGATTCCTCTTGTTACGTTTGATGGGTCGCCGTCGCAAGAGACTTTGGCCTGATTGCTACTCATGTTGACAAGAATCCTCACGTCTCGTTTAATGAGTGATCGTTCGAGGACTTTTACACGTTCCTCTACCTCGTTTACAGGAGAGGACCCGGCTTTGTCTACGATGACTGGCGGTAGGAACGCTTGGGGCTGCCCCTTCCCTGACGAACTAAGGCACAAGGTACACCAAAGTTCCAGTTTTCGCTGAGCAAGCCCAGCTACCCATGTCGACCAGAATCCTCCAGCCGTTTGATAGGTGATCATTCGCGGCCTTTCACACGTACCGCTACCATGACGAGAGTGGGGACCTAAGCGATTAACCAGAGGTGCCTGGAATCACCTGGGCTACCCCCACTCGACGCCGTGAGTGCATGGTGGGCCCAAGGCCAAACCAAAGGGCCAGGTTGACTCTTCAACGCATTATTAATCCACCGACATAACTATCTACCGGGTGGCGTTTTTCCGAATCCATGTGCAGTACAGAGCGCCTCATTATAGGCGACTGGGAACGGCGAACGGCCAGAACGGCGAATGTCGGTACTACTCTATGGGCCATTGGCGGATTGTTTACATTGTTTGGTAATGGTGTTTATGTTCATTTCGTTTTGAGTTCTCAAACGTCCAGCTTTGTTATTTGTCTATTTTCGAACTTTGTATTTTCTAGCGGTCTACTGTGTTTTTATTGAGGACTATATTATCTCTGTTCAACATTACATAACCTCCCTACCTCTAGTTGAACTTCATATATACCAACATGCATAGTCTGTAAGTTTTTATCATTATTGAACAAGAATTCTCATGAAAACCTGTGTGGAATGTTGATTTCCAATTCGAATATATAGCTGGGATATTCCCCTGATAGTGCATGATATTTTTAAAACAAAATCCAGCAAACTTTTTGGGAATAAAGTGTTCTTTGGAAGGTGAATTTAGGTAAACTGTTTCTACTTGACTTTTTACAACATAATCATCGAAACCCTGATTGATAAATTCTTTACTGTTTAGAAATTCTACTATTCATGAGTAAAGATATAATCAGTTTGAAATTTGTTTGTTCTTTTACCACCATCTCAAGAAGTAGGTATTATATTCATAATAGACATAGGTACATGGACATACATTTGAAAATATACCTATAGGTATGAGTGAATTTTCAGTGAAGTGTAAAGAACAATATCTCATTATGTTCAGACACTTTACAACTTTTCCAATCTTCAAGTTATTAATCCACACCTTTCTCCTACCGATCACTTCCTTGTTTCCCAAATTATTAGTTTCAAATACAAAGGACCCCGCACTTTTTCTATATAAAAATGGCGTTCCGTCGAATTTCCCCAATTTTTGGTAAATGATAGTACTCGACATACTGATTGAATATGCCAAGTCCCAACTCAATCCTATGACTAGTTTACGAGATACAGGGTGTTGAAGTTGAAGAATACCTAATTTTTCTCGGCCTATATCTCTAAGATAGGACAAATGAATTCCAATTTTTCGGGAGCACGTAATAGTTATGCCCTTAGGCGCAAGAACTATATAGGTATTCGACCAAAACTGATTTTTATTACAGGGTGATTCTCATTTCAAATAATGTGTTTTTTTGAATATCTGAATATCAATGCTACAAATTGATAACAATTACAAAATGAGATTTATAGCCAAGTATGCTCTTCTTACATCAATTGAATTCGTAAAATATAATAATTATACATGGTGTTTCATTAATGCTGTTGATTGCATAATTGGTCTATCCTAAAGTTCATTGGGCCACCTCGTATTATCGGGTTGATTCCAGACATTCAAAATATTTTTGAAGGATGTATCCCAATGAGTTCCATGATATACAGAGTGATTCATCGATTGAAAAAATTGACAACCACGAAAAAATATTCAAAAACCACTATTTTTTTCATCACCCTCTAATTCGAAATTATTACCGTCGATGTAAGATTTTTTTCCACCAATATACTCAGTATGGATATTTCAATCAAATTGGGAATTTTCAGACCCATGCTATGACTAGTTTTTTTTATACATCGAATAATGTGAAAATAATTATGGAAAAGTAATTACATAATAACACGAAAAATTGCTCCGAATCGCAAAACTAGTAGTCACTAGTCAACTATGTCAAAAAATGTGATTTGTTCGTAAACAAAATCTAGTGGTCTTATTATAGGTCCGCTAGCAAAACATCTCGAAAATGTTTTTCAGAAAACATCAAACAAATCACAATATGCCCCCGAAAAAATCTCATCAACGACACAACTATTCTACGCACCCCTTTCATCAACTTTCAACTCATCAACGATCCCACTCATAAACGTGCTAAAACTCATGAGCGTTCGAAGTCGACAGCGGTTTTTCCCAACTCAATCCTATGACTACTTTTCGAAAAAAGTATGAAACTAAACTTCCGCAAACGCCTAGTAAGAGGTGCGCGTTAATATATTTTGCAACTCTCCTATATCCAACCAACTTCCAATCTTTTGACCATACTGTATATTGTTAGAATCGAAGTTAGTATATGCACATCGCAAAGACACTAAAGTTGGAGTTTTGGTTATGTAGATATTCGTTACCGGGTTCAGTATAGGCCTGAAAGAAAAATGTCAATTAAGAATTTCAATCACAGATTTTGAAAAAATAGACAAACCAACTCGTTTCCCCACCACCTGAGAGGTAGAGTTTCAGGCGCGTTTTTTTTATTGTGGTATCCCCTGTAGGCCTAGTCCACGTTAGAAAGTGAAAGTTCCAATACCTATAATATGATTGTGTGTAGGCAGGATTGGCGCAGTGGACGAGCACCCGAGTCAGGACTGCGGGGTCGTGGGTTTGATTCCCAGACAGCGCAAGGAATTTTTCGAATATTAATATACGAATTAAATATTGTGAAGTTTCGGAGCATCGGCTGGGGATAGTCCTGCACGATTCACTGTTGCGTGCCTACATACAATATAGATACATGTTCAGAACACTATGGGCTAAAGGACCTCATTAGGGATCGATGGTTGGTTGGTATGTACAGTCGTCTTCAGAAAACATGTCGCCCATGGACGGTGTCAGCTCCCTTGATCACCGCTGCAATAAGAGCGCTCATACCGTCCAACCGCGACATGATCGTTGAAGACGAGTGTACATACCTACCAACGAAGGACATATACTACTACTCTACTACTATAATTATGTTTCACAAGGAACACAGAAATCAACTAATCGCCAGATTCAAATCAGTTCCGGACCGATGTTCATATTTTCAGGATTCAATCGATTTGCAGCATCGTCGATACAATTCAAAAGGCGATCAGATGGAAAGGTAATATTTCCTTGGTTTCTTGCGTATCCAAGGAACCATACCACACTGGCTACGTGTGCACACGTCCCTAATGTTCTAGCACCGGACCTACAAGTACAGTAGTACCCTAAAATGGGCGGATCTTGTAAATTATAATCATCGATTTCTCTGAATACTAACCACAGCATATGTTTAGTGGCATTTCTGAACCGAGAAAATACTCGAAATCTTAAAAAATTGGGTTCCTCAATGAGTTCGTCAATATCGAGTGTATTTTGTTCCCCTCCATCTCTTTGTATCGTGTCTTGTATGTAGGAGGCAGCTAAGTGAATGTGATATGACCCTGTGAGTGTTTTCAAATATTCTAAGTCAAGTCGAGGAAACGTCGGTACATGTCTATGGTTCAAACGAAACCATCGACCATTTCTTGTACGGAGGTTTTCAGCCTCAACTCGGGCCTGAACAATGTTGACTTCTTCGATATCATGCAACATTTGTGTAGCTAATTCCAATGTGCCCGGCATCCTTATTGGAGGATGGTATTTGTTTATTAGGGCGCCAGCAATCAAATAGAATTCGCGTGATTTTGCAACATGTGTTATTGATATCGCTCCTCGGAAAAATTTGAAAATCGATTTGAAATGCCCATTTCTAGCCTCTACAATCCATCTGGTGCTAGTAATTAAGCGTGCCCTATTAGTTTCGATTGTTGTGAGTTGTCTTTGGTTTGGTGGTAGAAATGGTGGCATATGGTAATGGAGACCAAGATCCTGTAAAAGACCAATAGAGTCCCTATAACCCCTATCGACTATCACTACATCGCCTTCTTGAAACCATGTCCTCATTCTATTTATATCATTCTGTAGCTCATGCTGCAGAATGGTGGCATCATTATTTCTAGCATCAGAAAAGTATGGACCATTAATTGCCAAGATGTAGCCATCAGGAGCGACCATAATTTCAGGCTTAACCAGGTGCTCATTTTTATGGAAGCAGTAGGATTGTCTCAATATCCGGAAATTACTACTTTTTTCTATTTTGTTATATGTACAGTCTATATACACAATTGCTTTTGGGATATTGGGAGAAGGGTTGTATAGCTGATTGGTGTATACAGACACGTGTCTATTAATATAATCGTCTCTTGTAATAGAGTCGAAACCAATATTATTAGTTACAAATCTTTGCATTAGAGATATCCTCACATTCGATATTATCAAGCTAGTTGTTTGTCTTGAAGAAAAATGAAACAAGATTTTCAAAAACTCATCTGAAACTCCATGTTTCATTTTGATTAGAAATGTCAGTAAATGTTTCTTTTTGATATGCCTTTTATTTCCCCCTTGCTCGATTGTATCACAAAATCCATAAAGTTCTTGAAAATCTTCTTTTGAAATCGACGTCAGAGCTTTGAACTCTTCTTCTGTAAAACTATCAATATCATCCCAGTTTCTAATACGTCTATTTTCATTGGCAACTGTTCTCATACACTGTAGAAATTGAAGCATATTTGATATCAAATAGGGTTTGTTGATAAAATTCAAACCTCCATGCAAATTATTCAAGAGAAATCCATGAGGGTCAAGATGATGACCACAAATTCTCAGAAAGTCCGGAACATAAATATTCGTTACAACAAAAATGTTCACCCTACATGCAAGAGTTATTCTCTGAACATGTTGACGAGCATTACAGATTATGCAGGCACGGCTCATTACTGGACTCAATACATTTAGGCGAAGACAGTTTGGGTTATTTTCCATCTCATTGATATCAATTATTTCACTGTTATGACAATTGAAACAAACTCTGGTATCATCAAAAATGTCAATTGGAGGATTTCCAGCAGCTTGTCTTCTAAATGTTGCAATTTGCAGAAAATCAACATTATCTTCACGATTTATACGAATTGTGAGTCTAGGAATGAAATTCCCTTCGCATACATAACATCTTACCCTATTTGCAAATGCCATAATGCGCACTAAATTCACTAAACAATTACTGAAAACGACTTAAAAAACACTCAGAATAAAGATATACGCTGATATGATATTTTAAGATACTGACAACCCGAAAGTTGCTGGATGACAGACACATTTATTGATATCATGATTTTGTTTTCTAAGCCTACTGAAAAATATTCTATCTGGTTGCGATAATCCAAATTCGACTTCTACGAAGTAAAACATACTTATTAATTCGTGACAACCCAAGTTTCTAGACTAATTCGACCCCGCCGATTCCGAAAATATCAGTTGTCAACTTGAATTGGGACTAGAACTTACCCTAAAATATAATTTTATAGTTATTTGAGGATGTCTATCGATCTATTACGGTATGTATATCTTACGATATACATTACCTAATGCCACTATTTCTTCCAACAAATAGATGTTGTTGGAAAACGAGTTGGTTCATGTATTTTTTCAAAATCTATGATTGCAATTCTGAATTGATATTGAGTGGAAGAAAGAGGCTTCGAGATTGTTTCATTATTATTTTACTATATTTTTGATGTGTTGGATAAATGATGATTCCTCGGTACCTACTGATGTTCCTGTATTCCATTTTTCTTTCAAGTCTATACTGAACCCGGTAACGAATATCTACATAACCAAAACTCCAACTTTAGTGTCTTTCCGATGTGCATATACTAACTTCGATTCTAACAATATACAGTATGATCAAAAGATTGGAAGTTGGTTGGATAAAGGAGAGTTGCAAAATATATTAACGCGCACCTCTCACTAGGCGTTTGCGGAAGTTTAGTTTCATATTTTTTTCGAAAAGTATAGTCATAGGATTGAGTTGGGAAAAACCGCTGTCGACTTGGAACGCTCATGAGTTTTAGCACGTTTATATGAGTGGGATCGTTGATGAGTTGTGTCGTTGATGAGATTTTTTCGGGGGCATATTGTGATTTGTTTGATGTTTTCTGAAAAACATTTTCGAGATGTTTTGCTAGCGGACCTATAATAAGACCACTAGATTTTGTTTACGAACAAATCACATTTTTTGACATAGTTGACTAGTGACTACTAGTTTTGCGATTCGGAGCAATTTTTCGTGTTATTATGTAATTACTTTTCCATAATTATTTTCACATTATTCGATGTATAAAAAAAACTAGTCATAGCATGGGTCTGAAAATTCCCAATTTGATTGAAATATCCATACTGAGTATATTGGTGGAAAAAAATCTTACATCGACGGTAATAATTTCGAATTAGAGGGTGATGAAAAAAATAGTGGTTTTTGAATATTTTTTCGTGGTTGTCAATTTTTTCAATCGATGAATCACTCTGTATATCATGGAACTCATTGGGATACATCCTTCAAAAATATTTTGAATGTCTGGAATCAACCCGATAATACGAGGTGGCCCAATGAACTTTAGGATAGACCAATTATGCAATCAACAGCATTAATGAAACACCATGTATAATTATTATATTTTACGAATTCAATTGATGTAAGAAGAGCATACTTGGCTATAAATCTCATTTTGTAATTGTTATCAATTTGTAGCATTGATATTCAGATATTCAAAAAAACACATTATTTGAAATGAGAATCACCCTGTAATAAAAATCAGTTTTGGTCGAATACCTATATAGTTCTTGCGCCTAAGGGCATAACTATTACGTGCTCCCGAAAAATTGGAATTCATTTGTCCTATCTTAGAGATATAGGCCGAGAAAAATTAGGTATTCTTCAACTTCAACACCCTGTATCTCGTAAACTAGTCATAGGATTGAGTTGGGACTTGGCATATTCAATCAGTATGTCGAGTACTATCATTTACCAAAAATTGGGGAAATTCGACGGAACGCCATTTTTATATAGAAAAAGTGCGGGGTCCTTTAGACTGTCCTGATTTTTAAAAGGAATGAAAGCTATACTCGGGATTTTTTTGCTCAAAATGAACAATGAGGTACACAACAATGATGACTCATGTTTTTAAACGTTTATAGAAGTTCTCAAACAAAATTATAGACAATTGAAACACAACTACTTCTCATACAAAATACACGCAAACTAATGTAAACAAAGCAATCAATGGCCCATACGTTAGTTATATTAGACAACGGTAGAGGGAGTACTCCTTAGCATGAATCGCCTATACTGTGTTCTGAACTGCACAGTGTTTTGTAGATCATAAATGGCGTAGCGTTATTCCGAACCAGAGCTGTCACAAATCGTTTCAAAAACGATTTAAATTAAAGATCAAAGATGCATTTCATTTGACCAAGTGATTTTGTCAATATGAAAGTATTCAGATAATGAAATATTTTAAAAGAATGAAAAAAACGAGACATCTTCAATGTCTGTACAATAGATTTTGAAATGCATACATATAAACGTAAAATCCTTGCTCATAGTTTAGACTGCAAACGTTTATCGAGAATAAAACAAAATAAGAAACACCACTATATATATCTTATATGAATATGTAATATGTCTGTATTTGGTACTTAAGGAATTTTTCACTTTCATTTCAAATGAGTGGTATTAGCCTTCAACAAAACAAGATTATCAAAGTTTTTGTCAGTTTAATGCATATCGACGAGATGAATTTATGAATGTGGCAGGCATAAGAGCACAGTCTCTCCACTGGAGCCAAGGACGGCAATATACAATTATTTTAAGAATTTTTGTAATACACTATTTTTGTGTAAAATATGAATGTAATTGGAAGGGTCCTGTAGGAACTGCAGCAATTATTGTTTCATCTCCTATTATATATTTAGATTCGTTCGACTTTTTTGAAAAAGCAGATATTTTTACGTGAGAATTTTCAATAGGAAATTAGAGTGATTTTTCGATATAAAGTCAAAATAAGGTGAAAAATTGAACATTTTAAATAAAGAAAATTAGTGTATTTGGGACACACAGGCGTGTTTTACATTCAGTTTGAGGTTATATGAAAAAAATGTAGATATAAAAGTTAGAGGTCTTCTTTTTACCTACAACTTTTCCATTTTACTTTTTTTCCATAGGGCATTTAGTTTTGCCGGAAATCGAGATAAACTGTTTTTACCCTTGAAAATTCACCCTACCACTTCCCGACCTCAGATCGCCTTCTCACCTTTGTTATATTCACTTTATTTTTCAATGGGTTTCATCCTACTTTTTTTTTTCAACTTATTACTGTTTTCAAAGGCTTCAGAACTGATCTAGAAGTGGACACTATTTTGAATCTCCATACATCAATCTACAAACATGGTCTTGTTGGCAGATCTTTGTTATCTGATTTGAGGTCAGGAATAAATTTTGTGAAAAAAAAAAACTACTCATGCCACTCACTTGACGATCTTCCCCGGCCGCAGGTCGAAGTTCTTGTTGACCACGTCCAACAGCTCCTTCTGGCTCAGCAACGTCCCATATACACTAATTTTTTCATGTGAAGTATTCAATCTTTCAACTTATTTTGATTCAATATCGAAAAAGCACCATAATTTTTAATCGAAAATTTTCGCGTCGAAATATCTGCTTTTTCAAAAAAGTCGATGGGCTTTGTGTTCGTTGAAATCTCCACTTTCTGATGGTGTGGAACATTTCACATAAAGATTGCACTCGTTTCGACCTGTTGAACTAGAATATGTAAAAATATACAGGGTGTTCCATTTGAAAAAACAAAGTTGTTGCTACTTTTCAATATAAGCGGCAACGTCGCAGCGCTGAGAATATTTCAGGTCCATAGAACACAACTTATTATCCGAGAAACCAAACTTTCAGAACAATCCTACGTTGCGTTCTCCGGAAACGTCTAATGTGCCAATCACCGTGAATCAGCCTGTATATTTTTTTCACCTTTTACCGTCTTCAAAAGTTTCAGCACCGGCTACAAGTGAACACTATTTTGAATCTCTAACAAACTTGGCCTTGTTGCCAGATCTTTGTTATCTGATTTGAGGTCAGGAATAAATTCTGTGAAAAAAAAAACTACTCATGCCACTCACTTGACGATCTTTCCCGGCCGCAGGTCGAAGTTCTTGTTGACCACGTCCAACAACTCCTTCTGGCTCAGCTTCGACGTGCCGTAGTCGAAGACTGTGATGGATAGAGGCTCGGCAAGGCCGATCGCGTACGCCACCTGCACCAGGCAGCGTCGGCACAGGCCGGCTTTTACAAGCGATTTGGCCACCCATCGGGCCGCGTACGCCGCTGATCTGAAACACGTGAAAACGACTCGATCAGGGGCGCGCTTGTAGCTGAAAGATTCTCTGCTCGTTTCGTTTCACATTTCAGATATTGTTTTGACTTCAGTTTTACTCGAGATAGCAAATACTCAACTAGTTCATCATTATTTGTTAGGTGAATTGGCCTCTGTCGAACATGAACCGAAGAATTCAGCAAACACATTATTATAATAATCAGGGCCAGTTTATCAATTACAATTTATCTGTCAGTTAAAGCTTAACTACCAGTTTTTTTGGAAAGGTCCGTTTATCTACACTAGGGTAACTTTATCCGGCAGTTAAAATGTCAAATATTTATCTGTAAGTTTTAACTGGCGGATAGTCGATATCTGGAGGTTAATGCCTATACACATAACCTCACTTTATTGAGTTGTTTTGATTTCCTAGCTTTCTGGTGTGACAAAAAAGTTAAAAATGGAGAGTACTAGTAGTTCTACAAAGAAAAGAGGATGCAATTTCACAGCAGAGGAGAAAAATTTGCTGATTAAAATAGCGAATCAATACAAACGTGTGATTGAAAATAAAAAAACAGATGGGGCAACCTGGAAATCGAAAGAGGAGGCTTGGGTGCAGGTTGAAGCAGCCTTTAATAGCTGCAGTAGTGGCACTGTAAGAAAGGTTCAGTTTTCTTTAAAGTACATAATAAGTAGTTGATTTTCGTACTCAAGCACTTGCACAATATCCTCGTCCTCGTCGCTCTCCAGAATATAATCATTTAAAAAATTCATATTTATCAACAACCAAAAACTCATAAAACAGAAAACAAACAAACTGGAAGTTTATCTGCTAGATATTTTTATCTGACGGATAACTAACTGATGGATAATATTGGCAATTGATAAACCGACCCTCAGTCAGTTAAAAATTTGCCTTTTGTGGAAGAGAGCACTAGAGTATATGTAAAGCCCAAGAGCGTCTGGACTCCTGGCATTGTATTAGAACATATCAGGCATAGAACTTATAAAGTTGAACTGGGTGGTATTCGTAATCGAAGATTTAATAAACCAATTAAAACTGACATCAATATCCCATTGAATACTCATCCAACTCCACGTTTGGCAAACCCTGTTATGAAAGGAAGATGGGCGCGCTTATAGCTGAAAGATTCTCTGCTCTTTTCGTTTCACATTTCAGAGATTGTTTTGACTTCAGTATCACTTGAGATAGCAAATACTCAACTAGTTCATCATTATCTGTTACGTAAATTGGTGATGATACGCCTCTGTCGAACTTTCACATTCTCATGCCATCAAAATCAACGTTAACACCCATGCGGGATCCTTTAGAGACCTCGGCTGAATATATTATTTCAAATGAATTTGATTCAGTTTTCAAAGCCTCAAATTCAATAGTAGAGGAGTTATGAGCCATTGAATAACAACTTTGCTCACCAGTAAATTGCAAGTGGTGGTCCAGTTCTTTGACGACCGAGGTCACCTGACCTTACTATTATACTATTTTTGGGGACCCATGAAAAGTCTAGTGTATTCAAATCAACCACAAACTTGAAATTCCAATTCAAAATATTATGACTTCAGCTGCACCGTGGCTGCATCCGTAAGAGGTGGGAACAGACCAAGCAAACATTGTTGTGCAACAGTGGAACAACATTCGAGAAACACACAGGTTTGCACAGTGTGTACGTGTTGCACAACAGTTGTGCAGCTGTTGCAAGTGATGGTCGGTGTTCGCTCCCGAGGCGGTACTTCAAAGGAGATGTGGCCCAACAGTGCGCACATCTTCTTCGTCGCGCATGGTGCCTGACTGAACGAACAGTGAACAAACACCGGAGAAAGCAGGCTGGTCGATGTTAACCAACAGTTTGTCGAAAATGTTTTCTCCCCACGAGAAGCCAACAGTTGCCTACTTAATGATCAACTGTTGCGCAACAATGTTTGCTTGGTCTGTTCCCACCTTAAGAGACAACCCATCAGATCTCTCCAGAGAGCAACGTTTTCAATAATTAGACGAGCAAGAATATGTTGTAAAGCTGCAGGAAAACATTCTGAACAAAGACTTGATTAAATTTGTGAGTAATCAAAAAATTCTGGATTGATAAAATATTACATTACTTTATTCAACATTCTCTTTGCGTCATTACACACTGCAGTTAGATTGAATATTGCTCATTACTCCTTAACTATAAAGTTTGGGACAAAAGTGTATGGGACACTTTCGACTTGAAATTGTTCAAGGAACATGCCCCCAATCTATGGGCATCGAGTCAAGGGGCATCCTGTGAATCTCAAAAATCGTAGTTTCGAGTAAATCGCAATTGGATATTCAAGTCATAATAATTTGAATAAAAATTTGTGGAGTATGTATGTATGGCCCCGCCATATTTTCTATTCACTTCCTAAAATCAACAAATTTAGGGAAACACACTCTAGGAGAAAACTGATTTTGTTCAGACTTGTTGAACTATTGATATAAATTATACAGGGTGTCCCATAATTAGCGAGCAATACCTCACCAGCAGATTCTACGATAAAAAAAAGAGTTCTCATGAACATAGGTCAAATAACGTTTCATAAGCGAGCTACATCCCCCTAAAGGTGGTACCCTGAAGATGGTTTTCATTCAATATCTTCGAAACTGTTGATAGCAGGATTATGAAATTTTTCAACTCGGCCAATCTTATAATGTCTAATAATATGCGATAATAATAATTTCAAAATGTCATCCAGAAATGTGTCAAACTCTGGGGGGTAGGGGGTAAAATCACTGCAACTTTTTTGGGTGCGGCATTTTAGCAAAAGAATATAAAACTTCCAAGCCTTTTGCATGAAAAGGTTCATCTTGTTTATCTTCGGTAGGACGCACCGTTCTCGAATATCGATTTGAAAATTACTTTACGTCATAAAAAATCATAAAGAAATAAAGAATAAAATAAAAATTTGAGCGTAGGCCATGAAACACGACCACATAGTTACGTGCAAAAATAATAATAAAGATAGGTGACAAATTCATGAAATGTGTCAGAAGGTTTGTAAATTTATTCAATTTATAAAAAAACAGTAAATTATTCATCTGAGCAACATTTTTTTCACTTGAATAACGATTTATAGCTTTAGGAGCACGCAGAATTTTTGAAAATGGTTTAATATTATTTCTTTTGTATCCTGCAGGAGCTCCTCTCGCGTGTCCACTTCAGTGGCATACACCTTCTTTATTATACCAACTACAGTGCCCATAGTTGTCGTTTTTCATGGCCTACGCTAAAATTTTTAATTTTTGTAATTTCATTATGAATTTTTATGACATGTGAAGTAATCTTCAAGTCGATTTTATTAGAGAACGGTGCTTTCTATCGAAGTAAAACAAAGGAAACCTTTTCATGTAAAAGGCTTCAAACTCTTATAAATTCTTGCTGAAGTTGCAAAAAACTGCACTGAAAAAAGTTGGGGGTGATTTTACTCCCCACCCCCACAGTTTGACTCATTTCTGGATGAAATTTTGAACTATTATTATAAAAATGTTCGAAAAATTATAAACAATTATTGTATATACAATGATAGTAAGTATTAAAATATAACAATTCAGTATTATAATCATCCATACATTCTAGAGACCAAACAAAGATCACGTGAGCGTGCAGGAATATTGCCACACTGTTCGTTTTTACTTTTGCATTGCTGTGGTGATATGGGATACTTTCTGAGCAACAACAAACCCTATGTGCTGCTTTCATGGTCCTAGGAACAAATCATTTCATATGGAATGAAAGAGCAGCCTCCTGAATTCTTTGAATGTGTGCGACTGAATTCCGCCCTTTTGTACCGTGGTATAAATAAAGAATTATTATTATTATTATTATTATTATATACACCAGAGGAGAATGCTGCTCTACACGTTTGGCAAGAATAATTTTCCAATAGAGAAACCGTGTACGAGCATCGTTGGCCCATCTACCTGAGTATAGCACGCCTGGAAAAAGATAATCCCTTTGGTCTGGCCGAAAAATGTACTATCTCAAAGGAGTTGTTAACGCGACACGAGGCGTATGGCAACAACTTCGCTTTCTTCTCTCTTCGTTAAAATGTCCATGCACATGGTTTGTCTATAGGAAAATTATTCTTACCAGACGTGTATATGCCACAAAGAAATATTGAACAGACTATACCTATTCCATTTAGATCAACAATGTCTAATTATCCACATAAACGAAAGTAAGCAGTGAATTGCTAACCTGTCCACTTTGGTGAAGTCCTTGCCGGAAAAGGCCCCGCCACCGTGGGCCCCCCAGCCGCCGTACGTGTCGACGATGATCTTCCTTCCTGTCAGGCCGGCGTCGCTCTGAAAACGATCGAAAACAAGGCGTCAGGCGAATGTTTGTGTTTAATAGTTGACGTTGAATTGTCCGATTCAGCTTCAGTGCTTGTTTGACTTCATCTTTACTCGAGATAGCAAATACTCAACAAGTTCATCATTGATGTTTGAACGAACGAAAACAAGGCGTTAGGGCGAATATAATATTCGTGTTTCATAGCTGACGTTGAAATATTCGATTTGTCTTCAATGCTGGTTTGAATTCAGTTTTACAGGAGATAGCAAATACTCTATAAGTTCATCATTGATGTTTGAAAGAACGAAAACGTGGCGTTAGGCGAATGTTTGCGTTTTATAGTTGACGTTGAAATGTCCGATTCAGCTTCAGTGCTTCTTTGACTTCATCTTTACTCGAGATAGCAAATACTCAACAAGTTCATCATTGATGTTTGAACGAACGAAACCAAGGCATTAGGCGAATAAAATATTCGTGGTTCATAGCTGACGTTGAAATATCCGATTTGACTTCAGTTTTACAGGAGATAGCAAATACTCTACAAGTTCATCATTGATGTTTAAACGAACGAAAACAAGGCGTTAGGCGAATATAATATTCGTGTTTCATAGCTTGAAATATCCGATTTGGCTTCAATGTTGGTTTGACTTCATTTTTACTCGAGTTAGCAAATACTCGACAAGTTCAGCATTGATTTTTAAACGAACAAAAACATGGCGTTAGGCGAATGTTTGTGTTTTATAGTTGACGTTGAATTGTCCGATTCCGTTTCAGTGCTTCTTTGACTTCATCTTTACTCGAGATAGCAAATACTCAACAAATACATCATTGATGTTTAAACGAACGAAACCAAGGGGCATTAGGCGAATATACTATTCGTGTTTTATAGCTGACGTTGAAATATCTGATTTGGCTCCAATGCTGGTTTGACTTTAGTTTTACACGAGATAGCAAATACTCGACAAGTTCACTTGATAGCGAATACTTGTCAAGTTCATCATGGATGTTTGATTATTGTCTGGCATTAATTATTCAAAGTAGTTTTGGTGAATTGCCTGACAAATCGCGTAAAAGTGTAAAATTTGTACTGGGTGATTATTTAAACAGCTTCTACAGGATCATAATTGAAGATAGAAAAAATACTTCACATGCAAAAGCTGTAGGGTTTGTTCTGAACCTTCAGGAATTTGTACCAGGGAAATGAGTATCAACTTCGTTATTTTCAATGGAACACCCTAAATATTTTTCGAAAAAACTGAAGATCTTTATATCCTCATTCCAAAAATATATTGGTTATTGATATTCGGTTCAGCCGTTTAAATATTCGAGGTTGAACGTGTTACGTTTGGTTAAAATTGTATTTTTGGTGATATAGTAAATAAAAATTGGAACTGGGTTATGAGATTTCCAAATAATATTAAACAAGTTTCAGTCCACTAGCAGCATAAATTGGTCCTAAAATAACAATATAAAGATGGTGTTCATAGTTGGACACAAAGTAAATGACATTTTACCAAGAGACAAACTAATCAACTAGGAAAACGCCAAATACTCAAAGTGGAATGCAAAACAAAATTTCGTAAGTCAATCCAACTGAAAAATATAAGAAAAATATTATTTCACTGTCGCTTGCTGGATAGAAAAACATAATATCAAGGTCAACGTTTTAAAAAACATTGATGTATTATGAAAATTTTTATCTACAATGCTATCTAGAAGTCAATTTTTGATTGAACTAAGCTAACACTACTAGGAGGTCAAACTGATATCACGGATAATGAAAGATTTCTAATAGGCCGTGAAATCAAAAAAATACAGTGCTAATCAGAATGACTATGTATTTGGCATTGTACTGGTTACAGGAATATTCGATGGTGCTCGCAAATAAGGATGAACTCAATCATTGATTTGCGATTTCCTGATCCTTCCTTAAATTTAGAAGTGAAATCATAAGTAAAAAATGACAAAGTTTCTGTATTGAGATCTATTTGACAAACTGTACTTTGTTACTTGCCTTTTCCAACAGATTCAAATTATTCTTTCAACTTCCTATCGGCTTCTTTCAGACATTATTTCACTCATAAAGCAAATAACTACCCTATGATAGCTATTTGCGTATTTAGAGCACAAAGTCATTGATTGCCGCTTGACAAAAAGGGTTACAGGGAGACTTGTACTATCGCAGATTATTCATTAGTTTGCTTTCGCTGTAGCGTTCCCCCACCGCGATGATCAATTGTAGTAGGTACCCTGTCTCTAGAAGCTAATTATCAACAATGAAATTCCATGGTTCTGATTGCTCTCTACTAATCTATTCGGATAGCCTGTAACCATGTGAGCAAATCTGCAAGTGTCAAGTCCTATTTTATGAGTATGGTTACTCATGATGGTAGTCACTGTTCAGGATGGATAACAGTGAATTTTCCGTGTATTTGTAGAATTAAGGTGATTTAAACTATGAGAACCATGTAAGGTCAGTCTTTTGAATTTGCGAACTAGTAGAACGAATACCTACCTAGTTGAATTTGACAAGACGATGGGATGTCAGATTATTACGCCACCCTACTGTCATTATTACTCTTATTACTCGATTCATCACAATAATGTATGTCATTAAATGTCGAAAATCGAGTAAGCAATGCATGAATGACTCCATAGTTGTAGATAAATATTATTGAAGCACATCAACGAATAATTCAGAAATTATATTACATCATTTGCTGTAGCATTCAGGAAACAAAAAAAATGTTGGAAAAACTTACCTGAGGTCCACCAATCACAAACTGCCCACAAGGGTTGATGTGGATGACAGTTTGCTCGTCTAGGTATCTCGTTGGAATCACTTCTTTGATTACTTTTTCTTTGATCTCCTTCCTCAATTCATCCAGGGTGATCTTCTCACTGTGTTGGACCGAAACCACCACAGTGTGAACTCTCAATGGCACGCAGGCGCCATGTTCGAATGTGTACTCTGCGGTAACCTAAAAATACGTCCAATAATGAATGCAAAATGAAAGGTATCAAAGAATAAAATTTATATTGACTTTATACAACAATATCTGAATGAGGTAACCCGTCTAGAGATTCTAGAGAATAAAGATTGAGCTCTTGAACCGAACAGATCGAAATATCCTAGGAAAAAAATTAACGTTCCAAAAGCGGTCCTTGGTCATTTGTTTTTCCATGACAATTAATTGCACCGACCACTTTGAGCAATACGGAGGGTTTATATGATTAGATCAAAATAATGATTCTTTTTTGAAGAAATGTAATCTGTTGTTGAATGAACAGTGTGATCCACGCCTCTTCAAGTACATTTAAATATACTGGCTTTCTTTTCATTTTGTAAGAGAAATATATGAATATGATATTTGATATGCCTCAGTTAGTAGTTGACATCATTTTCATTCAAGAGTAGCAAATACTAAATAAACATCATTGGCAATTTATCAATATTCAATTTCAAGTTACCAGGAATGAATAAGGTTATTAATTGTTGAAAAATTGTAAGTGTCACTGACTATCGATTGAATTTATTTTTAGGTTTCTAAAGGTGAGCTCCCAATGCGCCGTTCGGCGTTACTTCTTTGTGCTTTGTGTTAAGTAGAGATTAACATTGTCGGTGAATCCGGGCCTTAGTTTTAGTTTGAACGTGAGTTGAATTCATGTTCTGGGAACGTTTTCATTCAATACCGATAACTTTTCAACCACAAAGCTTGTCAGGAAAATTAAGTCATTTCAGAGTACAAGGAGAGTAATTAGTTAATAATTGTAGTATGACTGAAGTATCTATTTGATTATCTCATGTTTCCTATGTTTTTTTTGTTCTATTTTAAATGGATAATCTCATGACAACAATTATTTATAATGTGCTGTTTAAGCTCTATATTTTACAAACATTTTAAATATTTTCAGAATTCTCAGATATTCCTAAGATTTCAATTGAAGCGACAATGATAGGTAATTTCATTGAGAAGTACGAAGTAATGACTAATGAATACGTGAAAAGCAAAAACGCTGCACTGGAAACACACCTTAATAGTGAAAAATTAGCGAAATTCTAGGGATTCACATTTACAAGTAGGTACAAATTTTTTTGTTACATAATGGGGTTGTACACACAAGTCGAATTTACGCCACATATCTATTTTTTATCGATCATTCGTTATTTAGAATCATCGAAAATATTTGTTTCCATAAATAAATTCGGCGACTTCGAAAAACGCCAGGTTCGATGACGTCATGAACCGAATTCTGGCTTTCGTATAAAAAGTAGGACCACATATTTCGACGCTGCTAGATTTGTAACTAGTAATTAATTACCTTATGAGATTCAATATGACCAATATTCACATTTCACAGAAGAGACTTGGTCCCTAATAATCACTTATTGCATACTAACATACTTGCAAGATGCTTCAGTACCAATAAAAATATCCTAATTTTCCTAATAATGATCAAGATTTCATTTAATCCCAAATTATTTTGTGGCACGGCAAACAGTGTGATGCCCAAGTTCCCATAAATACAAAAAAAAAGACCAACTATATTGTCAATCCAACTTCCTGACGTTAATATCGGCTGTCACCTTCATCGTCAAATCCTTGTTTTATATAGTCAAGATGTGAATATTCAAAGATAATCCTCATATTATCTGATTATTTAGTTGTGTGTTGCGTTATCAGTTATCTGCAGTAAGTATTTAATCCAGAAAATCCATTCCATATTCTGATTGAAATGACAATCAGAAATATTCTTGAAGTTGTCTATCAGAAATAGAGAATTGATACGTAAGTCAAATCCTATATATTATGCTGTTCTCGGATGATTACGTCACGCGCTTCACCGGGTTTTTCATGTTATGAAATATCGTGAATTTCAATGATTATTTAAAAAAGTTACAGAGCTCTGAGGAAAAAACCGACGCGTAGCGGAGGGAGACAAAAAACCGTGAGCTAAAATCTAATATTTTTCCCGTGTATAATACACTATTTTTTTCTGTGACAGAAGAAAGGTTGGATCAATATTGAGAAGATATTACATTATTTTGAAATCTGAAAATCATCGACGTGTTTTCAACAGTAGGGACACCTGCGTTGTAGGCATCTTTATCATTCTTTTGAAGTAATCAAATATCTGATGTCACTTCTGTCAGTCTAATTCTGTGATTTGATTTCAAAAAATTGCGAATTTAGTGGTTGTTTAGTAATACAAGTAACCGCGAAGTCGAATGGAAGATAAAAGGACTTGCAGTTCTTTCTCGGAGACGGTATTATTGACTCATTTTTCGGAACTACGGCACAACAAACGACATCAACAGTGTATATATATGTGATATATATCCGGGAAAAAAGTACTCACTTTTTTCCCACGGGAAAAAAGTAATTTATGAAAAGTGACATTTTATAACCTGCCAACAGAGATGAAATGCCAAACTTTTTTCCCGTCACAGAAAAAATACATTTTTTCACATCCAATTTAATTTTCTAGTAGCAATAGATATTGACGTACCTGTGTTTTAGTATCTGGCCTGGCCCACCAAAACTCTCCTGATCTTCTCAAATCTGCAATTTTGTGATTCAATCTGTGTGCTAGAACCACCGTCAGCGGCATACATTCTTCTGTTTCGTCTGTGGCGTATCCGAACATCAGTCCCTTACAAACAAACGTACATTTTGCAATGGGTGATTCCATAAGGCGGGGAATGCTCGGAAGAAAGGAGCATTCCCCATCCAAGAAGCTCGTTTATGAATGGAAATGAATCCCCAAAAAATACTGTTCTAATGGTGAATACTAGCAGTAGTGGTACAATGAAGTGATCGAGAATAGAAGCGGGACACCTGAAATTCTCGTGAGATTTCGGACAACTTCCATATACAGGGTAGTTCAGATTCAACGATGGATATTTTGACCAAATATTCTTCAGCTGTAGGATTTTATGTATGTACAGGGTGAGCCAAATTGGTCACTTCCAAAGGGAAAGTCCTATTCTTGAACTAGATGAAAAAAAAACTGATGTCTGTGTCTGAGGGTCGATTCTCATGAAAAACTCAATTGTGAAATCTGCATATCGATATCTGTCTTCGTTTCGGAGTTACAAGGCATTTTTGAAAAGTGGCTACAGATATTTTTTTGTCAAAAATTGACTGTAATTATGAAAATATAGAACCTTGCAGTTTTCACGTTTCTTTCCTACTTCTTTGTGAAACTCAATATGACCTAATAATATATTGCATAACTGTTTTCGTTGAAGAGATACAGGGCGATTCTGAGAATCAATAATTTTTGGACCATTTCTACTACTCCCATGGCTGAGCTTCCACCAGCTAGCACTCCATCTATCTTGGACAAGATGATGGAGAGCCGCATCTGTGGACTTCCCAGTCTGATAGGCATATTATTGTTGTGCGTGCAGCGGGTTTATTTGCAGTGGCACATCTCTGATGTATCGATCTATCAGCCTCTCCAGTGTTTTCATGAGGAAAGACGTGAGGCTGATGGGTCTATACGCTTTGGCATCGGAATAATCTGTTTTCCCTGGTTTCGGGATAAATACGATCCTAACCGATCTCCATTCCACTGGTATGTGGCCCAGAGCCAGACAGGACCGAAATATCTTCATAAGCAGGGAAATGATGGTGTCCAGTCCCTCTTGTAGGAGGGCCGGAAATATTCCATCTTCCCCTGGTGATTTAAATGGTGCGAATGTATTTACAGCCCATCTCACCTTCTCGTATGTCAAAGGGTTATAGAACATAATGTTTGTTCTTGCTCAATCGAGCGAATTGTGGCAACGCTGGAAAAGAGCAGTGCCAGATGACGTCAAAACATAACGCACTCTTGGTTTTCATCAGCTGATCGGGGGACAAACAAAACTGTGTGTGAATTTTGTTATTTCTGTCCCATTGGTGATTTTGTTGATCTTGTAGAGAAAAGAAATTTGTATTTTTGTTGTTGCTCACTGAGAGCCTATCAATTGACGTATATTACGAGGTATATTAGAGCTGAAGTCAAGTGAATCAATCAGTAATTTTGAATTGACAAATAAACCAATTGGAATTCTTCTCATTGGACTCATTAACTTCTCTCACAGTATTCATGATGAATGAATCAACAAACATGTCAATTCATAAATACTCCATGTATCGAAATCATAGTGGGAAATGTGCAAGAAAGTTACATGTACCCTTATGGAAAATCTTTATGCTTGTCCCTCCATCAGTTGTTCAATGGCCGACAACTTTCCGTTAGATGACGTCACTGACTCTATGGTGCGCAGGATCCAGTGATGTACTCATATTCATTTTCGGGTTATCGTTGAAATTCAAACAGGAAATTGCTATTTATTTTAAAAGTGATGAAGCCACTGCTCACTTGGATTGCACGGAACCTTATAGGTATTTTGACGCAAGGATGCATGCTGAAGCCAATTAATTCTACCTATCCCAAAAGGTAAATTTTGTTTACTACAGTGGGAGTTAATTGACATTTGTCCCTTTCTTAACAAGCAGTTGAAAGCATATATTATATATTTTTAGAATCGGAACAATGAAAAGAATACCACGTCAAAATATTCGATGTTAAATCTGAACCACCCTGTATATGTGAACCGATTTGAAAGTTCTTCACTAGGATTGAGAGTATATTCTAGTAGCGAAATTACAGGGTGATGGAATGGTCAGTGTAAATTCGAACAAACCTATTCAACCTCTGTTCACGACAATTTTATTCTTTCGGGTTTTATTACTCCTTGAGTATGAGATGAAGATCTTTATTTCTTACTCGACTATGAAAAAAAATTAAATCGGTGCACAAGAACTCGAAAATCAAGTGGAATTATAATTTGATATTTTCACGTATGTACACGTGATAAACGCAATGGTTTGAATATATTTTCAAAGTTTATCTACAAACTCAAGAATAATCAAAACAATTATGTATTACATGACATAACATAACAAACAATTATAATGATAGTAATACAGCGTGTATCACTTGAATGACCCCTTTTCATCTGTTGTTATGTGAATCCAAATAAGATACATACAGATAGGGAATGTCAGTTTTGTGTCCCAAAATAATGATTTCAGTTTGGTCTGGTGGAGGGAACGAAATAAGCGTAGGCTACAAGGCATTAATATCATTGTTGATATTGGAAACATCGCATAATTTGTTTATGTTGATCGTGATTGCAAACATAAGATAGTTGAAATTGCCTAACTATGCAGTGACAAATTATAAAAATTGTCATATATTTGTCAAATACTAAGGAGACTGGAGATTTTAAGAGATACATTCATTTTTAGCCAAACTATGCATTTTTAAGGAATATCCTGAAACAGGTTGAATTTTATTTTCAATTTACCACATTTATAAGGAAGAATTAAATATACAGGATGATCCACGTTTGATTTATGACGTCCGCGACATTTTTTTTCGAACGTAAAACCCTCAACATGATTAATTTTTTTTCCGTCGACCTCCTATTAACGAGTGAGTTTAATGTTTATGAAATCGTTCATTAATGACCCCTATTAATAATCAATTTGTCTATTAATGCACGATTGTTTTATAGGCAACCAAACATACACCGCATGCATTCATTGTTTATGCTATAACTTACGGAATCTGCATTTAAATCGAAAATATGGATTTCATCGAAGATTTTCCGTTAAAGGGTTCGCCTTTCCAAGTTTCTGAAACGATTTTAATCCCTGTTTTCTAACACAAGGAATTTATATTCTATGTTGATCATTTCGACAAATGTCAAATGTCACTAACAAGGCTACTGGGCGATTCGAGTTTTCTTCTTTGCAGGAGAAATGAGAAATGTAGTCGACGGAAAAATTTTGTAACCAACTCGTATATTAGAAAGCGATTAATGAATCGCCCTCATTAATACACTAGTTGGTTAAATAACTATTAATCTCTATGAGAAGCTGGATGCGAAATTATATCACAAATGGGGTTTGTATACAGTGCATAGATTAAATTCAGTGCTCTCGTAAAATGGGGTAATACTGTATACGAGATATCTGTGTTATATATTTTGGAATTCAGCTTTTCATGGAGACTCCAAAAATTGAATAATATATAGTGTTCTGTTTGAAAAAATTATCGCGGACGTCAGAACTCGAACTGGATCACTCTGTCTATTCAAGTTCTCAGAAATTTATAGTTGCTTTATTCACTAATTCCGATAGCACTCAATTCAACGAACGCACTGTATACAAACCCTATTTGTAATATATTTTTGAATTCAGCTTTTCATGAAGATTTCAAAAATTGACTAATATATAGGGTATTCCATTTGATAAAATTGTCACGGACGTCAGACGGTCAGACCTCAAACGTAGATGACTCTGTATATTCAAATTTCACTTAAAAATGTGAAAAATTGAACATGAAAATCGACGTGTTTCAGGAAATTTCTCAAAAATAGACAGTTTGTACGAAGGCCTACGAAGGCCTGGCTGGAAGGGACACATAAAATAAAAAAAATAAAAACTCTTCAAAATTCTGAGTTATAACTCGGAATCTTACATCAAAATTCCGACTTATATCTCGGAATTTCAAAATTCCGTGTTATAACTCGGAATATTGGATGTAAAATTCCGAGTTATAAGTCGGAATATAGGATATAAAATTTCGAGTAATAACTCGGAATTTTAAAATTCCGAGTTATAAGTCGGAACTTTTGAGGTAAAATTCCGAGTTATAACTCGGAATTTTACAATTCCGAGTTATGACCCAGAATTTTGAAGAGTTTCTATTTTTTTTATTTTATGTGTCCCTTCCAGGCCTTCGTAGGAAGCTTTTCCTTTCAACCCATCATTTATTCTGAAATTGTGGGGTGAAGCGGAGGTTCAAAGAAACGTGGTGAAGTTAGTTTTTCTGTAAATAATGCATTTTTATTTTCCTGTGAACGCACAGTACTGACCAAAAAAGTATTCGTTCCGAGGATTATCATGGTTGATAATAATTAAATAAAGAGGATGGGGTATTTAAAGTAAGACACGCTGTATATCATGTTGAACTTGTACACGTGGTGAACAAAATGGAAAGACATTCATCAAATTTATCTACAAATTTGTGGTATTTTATTTGTCAAAACAATTACACTGGATATCAATATTTTTTAATGAGATTTGTTTTATGTGAGATTACGTTGAGATAATTAGATATTTAGATTATGGTGTAAATTCATAATATTCATTGGCTGTCTTTTCCGAATAATCTTCAGCCTTTTTATAAGCCTGGAAAAGCTGTTCAATTCAATGAAAAACTATTTTTTTCAATGATTCTAGGGAGACGCCAATTGAATATTAAAATTAGATCCATCTAAAGAAAATATCTAGGAAATCTGATTGTGCCAATGCATTTTATTTTCGATGATTTCAACATAAATAATTGCCAAGAAATTCAATATTTAATGAAAAACGAGATTATGTTAGCGGGACTGTGAGTTTCCACTCATTTGTTTGGGTATTTAGAAATTCTGTAGTGACTGTAATAATACTCTATCGTAATATTGGATAGGTAGGTAGGTACTCACAAATATAATTAGTAGTATATTTTTTGTATAACAGATTTCTTGATTAGTGGAAAAGTATGAACCCAATATATATTATTTTAACTTGAAAGATTTCAAAGTC